AGATAATCTTTTCCCTTAAAACCAAGTCTGGTGCCCTTGAGGAGATACCAACTCTTATTTACAAAAAAGCCTCCAGATCTTTAGCCCCTGCTATTGCATTGCTCTTCAACAAGTCACTTGAACTCCAAACCTTTCCAGATATTCTAAAAAAGCGAGAGTAACCCCTGTCCACAAATGTGGTGATCTCACAGATGTTAACAACTACAGACCTATATCAATTCTGCCTAACTTGTCAAAAATATTTGAAAAACTAATCTACAAGCAGCTTTACTCTTATCTAGCCAAACACAATATACTTAGCTCTTGTCAATATGGCTTCAGACCCCCAAAAAGCGCTAACGATGCACTTATTAGTATGATTAACTTGATTCATGCAGCTCTTGATAAAAATGAGTTCCCTGTTGGGTTATTTGTGGACCTACGTAAGGCTTTTGACACTGTCAACCACCAAAACCTTCTTCTTAAATTACATCATTATGGAGTCAGAGGTCACTCTCTGCAATACCTCAAATCTTACCTTTCTGACAGGCTTCAGTATGTTTCTGTGAATAATTCAATTTCTCCCACCCTACCCATCAACATCGGTGTTCCTCAGGGCAGCATACTTGGCCCTCTCCTCTTTCTCATCTACATTAATGACCTTCCAAATGCTTCCCAACACCTCAAACCAATTCTATTTGCTGACGACACAACCTTCATTTACTCCAGTCCTGACCCCCTTGCTCTAAATGCCACAGTGAATACTGAGCTAAATAAAGTCTATCTTTGGCTAACTGTCAACAAACTCACCGTTAACATTAAAACTTTCTATATTCTGTTTGGCAATAAATCCTCTAATCAAATAAATCTCAGGATAAACAATACCCAAATTTGTAATAAAATAGATGGCAAATTCCTTGGCGTTCTCATTGACCACAAGCTGAATTTCTAGGGGCACATTCTAAATATATCAAAAAAAGTTTCAAAAACTGTTGGCATTCTTTCTAAGATCAGATATTATGTACCCCGCCCTGCCCTGGTGACGCTCTATTACTCCCTCATCTATCCATATCTCAACTATGGTATTTGTGCTTGGGGTTCTACTACCCAAAATCATTTACGTCCTCTAATTACTCAACACAAAGCTGCTATTAGGACAATATCCAACTCTGGCCCCAGACATTACTTCCGAATTCAACTCAAACCTTAAAAATCTAATTCTAGAAAACAGACTGAACAAAAGCCATCTAATTATCGCAGGGGACTTTAATATTGACCTCTACGAGCCTGAACACCCTACTGCTGTTAGCTTCCTCAACTGTATGAATTCCTGCTTCCTCATACCCTTAATCACTAGACCTACTAGAATCACTGATAGTACTGCCACGACTCTAGATCACATCTGGACCAACATAACCTCTCCGCTTACTTCAGGTATAATCACCGATAGCACTACAGACCATTACCCCACATTTCTCTTCACTAACATTAACAAACCACCTCTAGAGTCAAGGGAGTTAAGCTTTAGGCTGCACAATGAAACTGCTATAGACAATTTATAACTGCTGCTGATAATGTCAACTGGGAGTCCGAGTTAGGTAACATAGGGGACATCAACCTAGCTGTGCAATCTTTTCTACAAACAACTCTTAGCCTTTATAACACCCACTGTCCTATGCTTACAAAACAAGTCACAACCAAAAGGCTTAACAATCCTTGGCTTACAAAGGGAATACTTAAATCCATTAATAAAAAACATGATCTTGAGAAAAATGTATAGGTTAGGAACCGTCTCCAAAGAATTTTCAAAGAATTACTCGTTATTGCTATCTAAAATAATTAGACGAGCCAAAACTAAATACTACGAAGATAAATTTACCCAAATAAAGAGCAACATTAAAAAAACTTGGAGCACAATTTCACAAATATTGGGATCAAAGAAGATTTTAAATAACAAACCAATACTCCTGTCCAATAACGATGGTCAGCTTACAGCCTCTGACTCTGCTATTGAGTTCAATAGGTTCTTCTCTTCCATTGGGTCATCCTTGCAAACGATATTCCATCTTCCAGTACTAATGTTAGGGACTATCTTACAGGTAACTATCCCCAGTCTCTGTACCTAAAGCCTACTAATTCCACTGATGTCAATGAGATAATCCTTTCCCTTAAAACCAAGTCTAGTGCCCTTGAGGAGATACCAACTTTAATCTACAAAAAAGCCTCCAGATCTTTAGCCCCTGCTATTGCATTGCTCTTCAACAAGTCACTTGAACTCCAAACCTTTCCAGATATTCTAAAAAAAAAGCGAGAGTAACCCCTGTCCACAAATGTGGTGATCTCACAGATGTTAACAACTACAGACCCATATCAATCCTGCCTAACTTGTCAAAAATATTTGAAAAACTAATCTACAAGCAGCTTTACTCTTATCTAGCCAAACACAATATACTTAGCTCTTGTCAATATGGCTTCAGACCCAAAAAAAGCACTAACGATGCACTTATTAGTATGATTAACTTGATTCATGCAGCTCTTGATAAAAATGAGTTCCCTGTTGGGTTATTTGTGCACCTGCGTAAGGCTTTTGACACTGTCAACCACTAAAACTTTCTTCTTAAATTACATCATTATGGAGTCAGAGGACACTCCCTGCAATACCTCAAATCTTATCTTACTGACTGGCTCCAGTATGTTTCTGTGAATAATTCCATTTCTCCCACCCTACCCATCAACATTGGTGTTCCTCAGGGCAGCATACTTGGCCCTCTCCTCTTTCTCATCTACATTAATGACCTTCCAAATGCCTCCCAACACCTCAAACCAATTCTATTTGCTGACGACACAACCTTCATTTACTCCAGTCCTGACCCCCCTTGCTCTAAATGCCACAGTAAATACTGAGCTAGAGAAAGTCCATCTTTGGCTAACTGCCAACAAACTCACCCTTAACATTGACAAAACGTTCTATATTCTGTTTGGCAATAAATCCTCTAATCAAATAAATCTCAAAATAAACAATACCCAAATTTTTAACAAATTAGATGGCAAATTTCTTGGCGATCTCATTGACCACAAGCTGAATTTCCAGGGACACATTCTAATTATATAAAAAAAAGTTTCAAAAACTGTTGGCATTCTTTCTAAGATCAGATATTATGTACCTCGCCCTGTCTTGGTGACGCTCTATTACTCCCTCATCTATCCATATCTCAACTATGGTATTTGTGCTTGGGGTTCTACTACCCAAAATCATTTATGTCCTCTAATTACTCAACACAAAGCTGCTATTAGGACAATATCCAACTCTGGCCCCAGACATCACTCGGTACCCCTACTCAAATCTCTGAATATGTTAGATATTAAGTCACTGCACATTCTCTCATGTGTATTATACATATATAAAACGCTGAACTGTAATGCCAATCCTGACCTCAAAAGCTTCATTGAAGGTTGTAACAGAACCCATGAGCACGACACCAGAAACAAATACCGTTTTGATATTCCAAGAGTACGACTTAATCTAACTAGAAATACTCTACAAATCAAGGGACCCAGAATGTGGAATGACCTCCCCAATCATGTTAAAGACTGTACCTCTCTCAGCCAGTTTAAGATAAAAACTAAGCACTACCTAATAAATTCCCTGTAATTCCTACCAGCGAGCATCAGAAATATTACCGGAACAACCGTGGACATCTTCAAGGGGAAATTAGATTGTTTCCTTCAAGGATCAATCAAGTTCAAGTATGTTTATTGAGATAAGCAATAAATACATCTCAAAGGGATAGAGTAGCTTAGGCTATTTCTACCCTACTCCTTCAAGGAGTACCGGACCAACCGGGCTGTGGTGGGTATGTGGGCCTGCGGGCCGCTCCAAGCAACAGCCTGGTGGACCAAACTCTCACAAGTCAAGCCTGGCCTCGGGCCGGGCTTGAGGAGAAGAAGAACTCCCAGAACCCCATCAACCAGGTATCAACCAGGTATCAACCAGGTATAACCTACCTTACCCCTATATTACAATAGACAATAGAAGGGTAAGGTAGGTTACAGGGAATTTATTAGGTATAGCTTCACTTTTAACTTAAACTGGTTGAGAGAGGTACAGTCTTTAACATGGTTGGGAAGGTCATTCCACATTCTGGGCCCCTTGATTTGTAGAGCATTTCTAGTTTGATTAAGTCGTACTCTAGGAATATCAAAACTGTATTTATTTCTGGTGTGGTGCTCATGGGTTCTGTTACAACCTTCTATGAAGCTTTTGAGATCAGGATTGGCATTATAGTTTAGCGTTTTATATATGTATAATACACATGAGAGAATGTGCAGTGACTTAATGTCTAACATATTCAGAGATTTAATTATTATTATTATTATTATTATAAGTAGGGGTACCGAGTGATGTCTGGGGCCAGAATTGGATATTGTCCTAATAGCAGCTTTGTGTTGAGTAATTAGAGGACGTAAGTGATTTTGGGTAGTAGAGCCCCAAGCACAAATACCATAGTTGAGATATGGATAGATAATATTGTCTACCCAAGTCTGTTATTTTTTAAACAACGTTGTTTGCCGACCTAATTGTATTTGTGCTGTTTTTTCCTGCCATGTTGCCCCCTTTTTTATTTTTATTTTTTCTTAACACATTTTATACTTTAATCTCAATTAGTATTAAGTTTTAGTCTTTAATGTTTTTCCTGCCCGAAACGCTTTGCGTAATAGTGGCTTTAGGCATTGTAAGTACTAGCTCTATCTATAAATCTATCAATTTTTGTATAACCTCTTGTATGTATGTACTTTACCTGAATAAACATTTTAATTTTTTCTTAATTTTTTGAATTGGGAGGACGAGGGGACGGGGGAGGGCTGAATGGTGGGAAGTATTAGGGGACGGGGAAAGTTGCTGTGGCTGGGTACAGCTAGTAAATAATTAAAAATAAATAAAAGGTAATTAAGTTTTATTTATTTGTTCATTTAAGTAAGTAAGTTTTTCTGGACGCACGGGAAGGACAGCCGGGGTCCACATGGCCTGTGCTGTCTCTGCCCCTAACCCCATAACCACAACAACCTTGGAGCCGTGTCAGCCGTGTAGTAACGGCCTGCTGCTCGCCTGTGGGGGAACGTGTTGCATTTGCTCTCCACTGGGTCACCTTTGCCGTAAGGCACCTCTATTCAACTGCCCTGTTGCGACACCTGGCGCACATATCGCCATGGAGTCAGGGGCGTTGATAGATTTGACTGCGTTGTCAGGCTTGTTCTAAGTGCCCTGAGCAGGAATCTGGAGACTTTTTTTTTACCTTTACCTGAATTTACCTGAGGGTTTGAGCGAGGAGTATCGGGGATTGACGGCCCTGGAGGCTCCTGTGTTCCATCTGGGCGTGAAATGCGTCTTGCTCTTTCTTTGCAGTGATAGCTACCCTGCCGGGGATATTCAGGTGTTGCCAGGCGTCGCCCCAGTGTACTTGCAATGTGAGGCGGTTTAGAGTTTTTGCAGTTTTGTTTTTCGAGATAGCTTCCCCTTTTGTTTCCATACCGGGAACCGGATCGACAGGGTGCATGTGGATGTTCTATTGTGGCCCATCAAGGCAATTAAGAAGAACAATCTCATGTGTGCAGCTTCTTACACTTAACTGGATATATTTCATTTTTAGTGTTGTCTTGCAAATAGCCTTTTCCGAGATGTCATTGCTATTATTAAAATCTTCATGTGTCTTGAAAAAAGTCACATGTATTAATAAAGTTGAGCGTCATAGAATAAATGTTGGATACCTGTCTTCAGTGTTACAGGCTCTTCCTTTCTCATATAACCAGTCATTAACATTTTGTCATGCTGTGCTGTCTCGCAAGCCATTATTCTGGCAACAGCAGTGTAGTCGACAGTCCAAACGTTACACTGGGCTATGGTCATCATCATCAAACAATAATGATGGCTCTACCCTAAAGACTTTGGAAGGCGTGGCTAAATTTATTAAAGAAAGAGCCAAGAACATTTTAGTTATGGTTGGAGCGGGTATTAGCACTCCATCTGGAATTCCTGATTTTAGGTATGTTTATTATTTATTTTATTTGTGTTAAGGATGGGCTCTGTAGCGCAGTGGTCTACATCCTTGGCTCACAACTGAGAATCCCTGGTTCAATCACCTGAGTTGGACAGTCAAGACAGATAGGATGTTTCTTTTCACCTGATGCCTGTGTTCAGGGTTGGTAAAAATTCCATTATTTAGTTTGTTTTTTTGTAAAATTCCAACCCGGATTTTTTAAACTAGAAAACCTGGCCTGGATAGGCTACCATACCAATCCTGTATGTTGGGGAGGTTCACAAGTAGTTTGCCTATGGAAAACTTGATAAGCCTAGAAGGCTTCCTGTCTCCAACCACAGGGAACCATAAAACAAATCATCTTCGATCTCTGTATAGTATATAGTTTGTACAGTATATAAGGAAATTTATGACCATGAAAAATGAGACAAAATAATTTCTCGTCTTATTTTTCTTTGTTGTACATTTTCACATTATTCATCTTTCCTGAACCCTGCTACGAAAACATGACCAGGTGGCTGGAGTGCCATCGCTGCAGTCAAGAGAACCAAAGACATAGCATCCTTGAGAAAACAAGAGGTGAAAAGGGGAAAGAATAAATGGGATAAGAACAGCTGAATCTTGGTCCTTGTTTTTCTTGAATGCTGGCAAGACAGACTAGTGTAATAGAAGTCCACCACCACCACCTGAAAGGAGAGAGGCAAAAAACTTTGGCAGCTCATTCAAGGTCCCAGCCACAGGCAGATCAGCCAAGGCATCCAAGTTGCCATAAAGCTGACTGAAGAATAGCTCCATGACAGCCCAAACACACAACTGTTGCCACGTGTGCATGTGCCTTCTGATCTCCTCTGGCAGCAGACCCAGACAGCAAAAGCAACTGAACATGAAGCTGCCATATACCTACATCCCAAGGCAAAGACAGTGCTAAGAGTCAAGACTGAAGTGGCTCAAAGAAACCACCCAAAAAAGTCTGACAGACCGCACTCATCTTATGCCACTTGAGCATGCAGGCATTGTCAAAGCCTTGTTAGGTCCCAAGGAAATTTTCCTCTAGCTAGGTTACTGATCCCACCTGGAATCATAGGTACGTTATCCAGAACTGACAGTAACTGATTGTAATAATAAATCGTGAAAGGAAAAAGGGGGTAAACCATGCTAATCAAAACCTTCACCAAGTGTATTTCATAAATAAATATATATATATAATATATATATATATATATATATATATATATATATATATATATATATATATATATATATATATATATATATATATATATATATATATATATATATGAATGAAAACTCACACCCCAGAAGTGACTCGAACCCATACTCCCAGAAGCAACGCAACTGGTAACTACAGGGCGCCTTAATCCGCTTGACCATCACGGCCGTCAAAAGGAAGTGATAGCCGAGGCTATTTGAGCCACTTCCCCGACGGCAACTCGGATGGTAATCTTGGGCATAGCATTTCACCAAATCACCTCATTCTTTGGGGCACACGTGAGGAACACAAATGCGAACAAGCCTGAATGGTCCCCAGGACTATATGCGAATGAAAACTCACACCCCAGAAGTGACTCGAACCCATACTCCCAGAAGCAACGCAACTGGTAACTACAGGGCGCCTTAATCCGCTTGACCATCACGGCCGTCAAAAGGAAGTGATAGCCGAGGCTATTTGAGCCACTTCCCCGACGGCAACTCGGATGGTAATCTTGGGCATAGCATTTCACCAAATCACCTCATTCTTTGGGGCACACGTGAGGAACACAAATGCGAACAAGCCTGAATGGTCCCCAGGACTATATGCGAATGAAAACTCACACCCCAGAAGTGACTCGAACCCATACTCCCAGAAGCAACGCAACTGGTAACTACAGGGCGCCTTAATCCGCTTGACCATCACGGCCGTCAAAAGGAAGTGATAGCCGAGGCTATCACTTCCTTTTGACGGCCGTGATGGTCAAGCGGATTAAGGCGCCCTGTAGTTACCAGTTGCGTTGCTTCTGGGAGTATGGGTTCGAGTCACTTCTGGGGTGTGAGTTTTCATTCGCATATAGTCCTGGGGACCATTCAGGCTTGTTCGCATTTGTGTTCCTCACGTGTGCCCCAAAGAATGAGGTGATTTGGTGAAATGCTATGCCCAAGATTACCATCCGAGTTGCCGTCGGGGAAGTGGCTCAAATAGCCTCGGCTATCACTTCCTTTTGACGGCCGTGATGGTCAAGCGGATTAAGGCGCCCTGTAGTTACCAGTTGCGTTGCTTCTGGGAGTATGGGTTCGAGTCACTTCTGGGGTGTGAGTTTTCATTCGCATATAGTCCTGGGGACCATTCAGGCTTGTTCGCATATATATATATATATATATATATATATATTACTGTATATATATATATTATATATATATATATATTTTATTTATTTATTTATGAAATACACTTGGTGAAGGTTTTGATTAGCATGGTTTACCCCCTTTTTCCTTTCACGATTTATTATTACAATCAGTTACTGTCAGTTCTGGATAACGTACCTATGATTCCAGGTGGGATCAGTAACCTAGCTAGAGGAAAATTTCCTTGGGACCTAACAAGGCTTTGACAATGCCTGCATGCTCAAGTGGCATAAGATGAGTGCGGTCTGTCAGACTTTTTTGGGTGGTTTCTTTGAGCCACTTCAGTCTTGACTCTTAGCACTGTCACAAACTCCCGCATTCTTTTCCTAGCGAGTCCACTTTGTCTTCTATTATACACCACTCAAGTGTTTCTTCCCAAGTCTGTCCTCATTGGTCCTCACACCGGCGAGTTCACCTTACTCAGTAAAACATGGGCTAGTCCTACACAGTATTGTCACGGGGTCCAAAGCACCACTTCCACTCTCCAGCAACACACTGGCAGAAGTCTCCAGAAATACACTGGCAACAAGCCTTAACAGACAGCCATTTCTTCCGTCTAGTAATTCGGTCTGGCCATTCCGGGGTACATCAGTCCAATCAACACTACTTCGATAAGTAATTCCAGACAGCTCACTGTCTATACCGACTGCCACTTGTTCCGCTGGAACATGTCTTGAGTTCAGGACTGCCCTGGATGAACTGATTCCTGCTGACCAAGATACTCTCCACATCACTTCTGTGGACAAAAATCGATTAGCAAGACAGAAAGTACACCAGGATCAAATGCGATCACAATCTTCCACTGGGAACAGAAAATGAGTGTTGGGTGTGGGGGGTGGGGATGACAACATATAGCATTGTCATTATCACACCTCCCTCAACAGATGGCGTCGATATCGTCACACCAGGATAAATTAAAGACCTCATACCACAACCAATAAGAAGTGGCTGACTCAGATTCAAAAGAAGCCAGGCCCTGATCCTGAAGTAATAACTGAAAAAGTGCCAACCACACCCCTAAGGGCAAAAGATGAAAATTCAGAAACCTCCGCAGATACAATGTCTCCAAATGTCTCCAGGGACTCTACTCGAACTTGGAAGTGCACGTAAGAGGGAATCGGTTAGGAATCTATTTTAAATAACAAAGGGGGCTACAACACATCATCCACATTAATCAAATAACCTTCTAAATAATAATAAGGAAACTAAAGGCCAGAGAGGAAAGGCACCCAGTTACCACATTCAGTCTTCACACGAGCCCTAGATACCCCAGATAAAGGAGTCACCGGAGCAGAGCTGAGATCCATGCCTGATATAGAAGACAGAAAAACATATCTCCACAGGGAAGGATTTACTGCAGGAAAACAGTAAATCGAGAAGGCAGCGAAATAGAAGGCAGCGGTTTCTCTTCGGGAAACATCGGTTCATCTACTACCTCTCTTGAAGTGCAAGAGGTGGTTACCAGAGAAGCCCAAAATACACCTGAAGAAACACCACCTGCAGACTCCAAACCCTGCAGAGATTTTAGAACTGAGAGCAAATAAAGTGGTCTCCAGGCCTGCTGAAAAGCAGCCAAACTGGAAGGAGGAGTTAGAGAAGAAAATCTGGAGCAAGTAGAAAACACCAACCACTTTAATTCTGAATCCTGAAAAGACAAGGGGGGATGAACCTGGGGGAACTATATTGATGCTAAGGCTCAACCTACATATACAGGCATACCTGGCTTGTAAGCAGAGGCATCAGGAGTAAGGACACATGCATGAATGTCTGATCCTGTCTGGGAATCAAATCAAGGATCTTCCAGTTGTAAGCTGACTGTGCTGACCACTATGCTATATGTACATAAAATGCCATGTGATAATTGTAATATCTAATTCAACTCTTAATATTAACAAAAAATGGGGGTAAATTGAATACTAGTACTCACCTGAATATAAAGATAAACTAAAGTAGAAGATTTTATGAGAATGTTCTCTCAGTCCTCACAATCTTCCCAGAGGACTGACCTTGAGGTGCTCCACTAGTGACACTTCTCCAGTCAGAGACATTGCCTCTGATCACTGCTTGCATTTGTCTTTCTAAAAATTTATCTCCTAAATTTAGAAGTCTGTCACACCTTCAATGTATTGTAACTTCCTGATGAGTCATTTATGTGGGACGCTTTCTTGCAATATTCTTGTGGCTTCATTATAAAAACTAAGTAAATTTTGTTATGCAAGACCTTCTTGTTTGAAATCCAAACTGTCTGTCTATTATGATGTTGATATTATGTCATTACTTTCCAGGTACTGTACTCTGTTCCATTGATTCTTAAAAAAAAAAAAATCTAGAGCTTTTACTACCATGGGGAGCCGGTCGGCCGAGCGGACAGCACGCTGGACTTGTGATCCTGTGGTCCCGGGTTCGATCCCGGGCGCCGGCGAGAAACAATGGGCAGAGTTTTCTTTCACCCTATGCCTCAGTTACCTAGCAGTAAAATAGGTACCTGGGTGTTAGTCAGCCGTCACGGGCTGCTTCCTGGGGTTGGAGGCCTGGTCGAGGACCGGGCCGCGGGGACATTAAAGCCCCGAAATCATCTCAAGATAAGAAGCTAGTCTGTGATACAGGTCTATACTGTAGTTTAGAGGGTCTTCCATGTTTGAATTTTTATAGATTGAAGCTTTGTTTACCTTTTTCCATGTCAGCTCGGTTCTCCGATTTTTAAAGATATTTGGAAAATAATTTGTAGTAGGGGTGCTAATATCGGATTCACATTCCCTTAGTACCCAAAGTGAGACTCCATCCGGTCCAACAGCTTAATTTATAACTCCCTGAGGAGTTTTTCTACCTCATCTCTTAGACAATTTGATGTGCTCATCAGTTACGTTCAAAAAGTCCATTACGATGGTGGTTCGTCATAAATTTTACTCCACGTGAACACATTTTAGAACTGTTCATTTAGTGTTTCATGCATTTCACATACCTCTTCCTATATTGATTTCATTTTTAGAGAGAGAGTGAGAGAAAGAGAGTGAGAGAAAGAAAGAAAGTGAGAGAAAGAAAAAAAATATATATATATATAGATTGATAGATATGCATCATTACAACCTATGGGTTGAACCATGTAGGGTGTACAGTACTGTATTTACATTTGGATTTATATATGTACATTAGTGCCACTTTAGATAATTGTGATGCTAATTTACTCAATATATTGCAGAACCCCGGGGACTGGCATGTATGATAACCTACAAAAGTATAATCTTCCCTATCCAGAGGCTATATTTGACATTCATTTTTTTATGATGGATCCTCGACCTTTCTTTACATTAGGTAAGTTAAAAGATTTGTTAGGCATCTATGATAAGTGTGGGGGAAAGGGGGTGGTAGATGGTAAAGTAAGTAATTACCAAAAGAAGGCACCAAGTTGAGAAGACCAACTAGCAGTGCCTGTGTTGCAAGATATTCCAAAGGTCATAAATACCACTTAGAATGTCTGTACAAGAGAAAAAAGACAAGATGAGTGACATCAGAGGCATTGGTTGGATTCACCAAGGATTTTATCAAAGAACAAGTGATTCAGAGGGACATGGGAAAGCAAGGTCTATGATTACTTTGTAAATTATAGTACAGTACTATTATCCACTGCAAATAAGTGTTGATCATGCAATATCACTTTTAATGTGCTAAATTTTATGTTCATAAATATAAAGTAAATAAATAGGAGATGCCACGTATGGGCCAATAGGCCTTCTGCAGTTACCTTCATTCTTATGTTAATTATTTGTATTTTAAACTTTCAAATCTCCAGTAACTTATGTGAAATAAAAAGTGAATGTGAATTAATGTTGTGTAAACTGTATACTGCATATTTTAAAGCATTTCACTGTCCAGCACAAGATCTCTATCCTGGAGTGAACTACAAACCAAACATCGTTCATCACTTTCTCCGATTGTTATATGAAGAAGAAAAACTTCAGATGGTGTACACACAAAACATTGATGGTCTAGAGAGATGTAAGTACAGATTGTTAATTATATTTTAACTAATAATCCATACATTAAGAGATGAATGAACATTGGGTTCTCATAATGGTGAACGCTCAACATCTACAGTATTTATCATGGCTTGAAAGCATCATTAAAATCCCGTCTGGTGGTTTATTTTGCCTGTGCATTAATAATTCTTAAACAAGTGTCCATGCTCTTTCTAGAACAATTCTGATTTATGGCATCTTATAAGACAGAGGCAAATACAGTACATTTATGTACATAATAATGATTAGTGTGTTTAATAATTCAAAATTCAAAAAAATTCAAATGTTTATTCAGGTAAAGTACATACATACAAGAGGTGATACAAAAATTGATAGATTCATAGATAGAGCTAGTACATATAATGCCTAAAGCCACTATTACGCAAAGCGTTTCGGGCAGGAAAAACATTAAAGACTAAAACTTAATAGACTTAAATTAATAAAACTTAAAATCATTAAGATATTGATAAACTACTATCTGTTAGATTAAGGGCCTACCTGAAATGCTATGCATATCAGTGACTTTACAAGAATGTAAAAACATCAATGCTATGTACTCTCATAAACCCAATATACCTTTTTGTATATACAGTATATCTAGATGAATAAATACAAAAATAAATAAATAGATAAGAAGTTTTTTAATAGTTTAGTACTTTAATAGGTCACTGTTACATAAAATTGTATGTTACCTATACAGATTGCTTGTAATTGTATTTATTGTTGAGTGTTGCATAAATAACTTATCTATTAGTTATATATATATATACCTTTCTCTTGGTAGAATTGAGTTGAATCAAATAATGAGTATTCAAACTTCTGTGTTTCAATTATTAAGTAATTGAAGAAAGAAGGTAACAAGCCAAGAAGACCATTTAGCATCATCTGTGTTGCATGCAGGATATTCTCTGCAATATCCTCTGCATGATATTCAAAAGGTCCTAAATATCAGTCAGGATACCAATATGAAAGTAAAAAAAACATAAGGTGAGTGACGTGAAAAGCATTGGATTCACTAAGGATTCTATTGAGGGACATGTGACTCAGAGGGACATTAACCCCTACACTGCTCCAGTTGCCATCCTTGATTTCCTCATGTCCTCCAATCACCATATGGAATTTTTCTCCAATATGATTTGGTACACATTTTAAGACATGACCAGCTCCATGTATTACTTTTAAATCGGTATGCCATTTAGGAGTATGAAAACAAAAATTTAATCTTTCTGAAAATCAAGACATTCTTTGAAGAGGTATATGACTGGAAGTGGGACAGTTAGTTTTCACCATAAGGTGCAGGGCATTGTTTCATTAAGTGCATACAAGTTAACTGCACGTTGCCAGTATACAGCCTAGTCAGAGCCATTTCCCACAGTCTGTTATGATGGTTTTAGGAAAGCCATGGTGATAAGGCACATTTAAGAGTACCTGTACATAGTTTCTCGTCTGTAATACCAGACCAAGGATCGTGCCAATAGGGATGAAGTGTGGTATGAATGACCGAGTAGAAATCAAAATAATGAATCCCCTTATAGGAGATGGGACAGGAGTGATCTCCTTAACAATGATCTCTATAAATTCACCATAATTGCTGGGTACCCAGCAAAATTTGACTTTGTTTTTAAATCTGCTGAAAGATGAAAAGCAGCCATTTACAGAATTGGATTTTGACCACCACAGGATGGGAAAGATTAAAAAGATTCGAGTCATGTGGGCACAGCAAAAGTCAACCACAGCAACAAAGTAACATTGGTGCATAAAAAGCAGCTGGCATAGAGCATTCAAAATTCTATAAAGTTGTGCCATAAATAAATGCTAACCTCTGGGAAAAGATGACACATATAGGTTTGATTAAGAAGAACAATGAAGTAGCGTACACCATCCGTAGACTTCAGTCCATCTGTGAACAGGGCAATAAAATGTGAATTGCAGGAAAATTTTTAAAGGAAAAGGCATTTCATAATAGTAGGAAGGGGGTATAAACCTTAACCATGCAGGTAAAGGCTTTCACAGCTTTGACCCTCCACAAAGACAAAATATGAACAATACAAAAGGAAACGTTGTGGACGTGTAGCGAGAGAGAATCCTGTACACAGGTCATCCTTGCAATAAAGGAAAAGAAGAGGAAAAAGGACCTTGATCTACCAAACTGTATCTGGTAAAGAAAATACAAATGTTGTTAGTAGTAATATACTTTATCTTTTCCTAGTCCATTCAAAGAGATAATTGATTATGGGTTCCTCATGAATATCTCCAGTGGCAGGAATACCAGATGCAAAGCTTATGGAAGCTCACGGCACTTTTGCTTCAGCATCATGTACTCTCTGTGGCAAGATGCACAGTGCTGATAAAGTGAAAAAAGCCATCATAGAAGGGGATATTCCAATGTGTGAAGCCACCAAATGCAAGGTGAGATTTTTTTCGTGTTTGGAATTTTGGTCAGTAAAAAAAAACAGATGGTACAGATTACAGTGTATCCCATTGAAGAATAAAATAGGTTCTGCAAAACTTATATAGTACAGTATTTACAGTACTGTGAGTGGACAGCTTTGGATATTTATGGGAAGGCTATTCATGATGATTATAAACCTACAATGTTTTAATATTTAACTGTAACATATTAATGTTGAACTGTAAATAAATACAACTTGAAATGAGAATTTGGCAGAGATAGAAAATGCTTTATTTTTCACCTTATATATTCACCTACAGTATTACCTTTGCTGTTCAGTTATCACATTTAAGGTGGGTATACTTGAAACCCTTAAATTTACTAAACAGAAAAGACAAAGTCTTTTCTGTTTTTTTTTTTTCTTCACTAAATGCTATAGTGTTTCTTGCATGTTTTGAGAATTTTTTTGTAATATCCACAGGGTAAAGTCAAACCTGATATTGTTTTCTTTGGTGAGGATCTCCCTTCGTCATTCTGGGAATACAACCAACAGACTCATTTCACAGATCTTCTTCTTATCATTGGAACGTCACTCGAGGTGATTATCTTTTGCTGATGCTTAAAAGATTTAGTTTTTACTTTACTATATCAATATTTACCCTTGCACTTACAAACATTTTCAGACTTGTACCCCTGTATGTACGAATAAATTAACAAAATATTTTTTCCTTGCTAAGTGATTTAAAGTAATGTGAACAGGATAAGAAAATTACTGTCTATGCTGGATAATCTAAATTATATGGGGCCCAACCCCATACAAGTTAGCTGGACATTTGAGTTAGTTTCCTGTTCAGCAGAAATCTCGGTAACTCTAATTTTTATTTGAGAAGAGCAGTCAAAAACTTGAACTCAGATTTATTCAGGTTTTCATGCACTTTATTCAGGTTTTCATGCACTTTATTCAGGTTTTCTTGCATCGTAGACTAGGCAGCCTACGATGCAAGAAATCTGGACCAGCAGATTTGTGAACCTCTTCCTAAATGAATTTATGTATCAGAACAAAGAAATTTTCCCTCCAGAACCTGCCTCCACAAAGTAAGAATGACCGTATTCTACTAAAAATAAAATATGCAATACATGGCATGTGTTATAATCTTTTTAAACAAATAGGGAAAAGTGTTCACCAGAGAAACTCAACTGAGGATGCTAATGGAGTCTTAGAGAACTCTTTAATGGATTTGACTGGAATGTTATATTTCTAGGGAAGGAAATAAATGTGATGTATGCCAAATTTTGCAAGATATGAAGAAGTCACCCCAAACTGTAAATACTGAAGCAGAGATGCAAATACTGTACAGAAAACAGGACTGGTTTAGTAGAAATTTAGAGAGCTAGACAGCAAAAGACAAAGAAATAGCAATATTGAAACAAGCCAAACCTTCAAACATACTAATACTATAAGCAAGCTTGAAACAACTACATGGTAGTGAGAAGAAAGAGAAAAAGAGAACAATTTTAAGAAATAGATAGTGAACAAATGTAAAACAGAACCCAGCCTCTTCTATAAATTCATAAAAAGCAAATTGTTAACACCACAAATGGGAGAGACAGAAACTAAATAGGAAATGTGTGAAATGCTAAACCAACACTTCCAGAGTGTGTTCATCCTTAATGAGGGTTTCACAGAGCTAGCCACAATAATGACTTGAACACAACAAAGTACCTAGAGGTGAGGTAGAAAAACTGCTTAAGGAACTAGATAAAATTAAAGCAGTCAGCCTAGATGGAGTCTGGGCTGCCTAAATCTGAGTCAGAGTCCAAGGTTCTCAGGAAATAGTATGCATCAGAAATTAGTGCCCCACTACACATTTTTTAAAACATCGTTACAAACAGGGAACCTCAAACATAGAATTTCAAACAGTTCCAATCTATAAAAACAGAAACAGAGAAGACCCTCTAAATTATTGACCTGTATCATTGACAAACATAGTACAGTGGTACCTTCATTTATGAATTTAATCCGTTCCTAAAGGCGGCTCGTAACCCGAAACAAGTTTTCCAATAAAAAATAATGTAAATTTAATTAATCCGTTCCACACTTCCAAAACTATTATCTTCAAAATACATTTCATACATAATAGGCACAAATATTTTGTGCTGTAGTATGTACACGGTATAACTTATCTTTATTGATGACTCTTGTTGGTGTATGGAAGACGGTGAGGAGGGGGGAGAGAGGTGTTATGTTTGGAAGGAGGAGTCCCCTTCCATTATATAAGCTTATAAGCATCAGGCAGTGATGACTTCTCTAGGGTACTCTCTCTCCTGCATTTTGCCTTCATACGACTAGGACCTGGTTGTGGCTCACTGTTTGTTTTCTCACTAAGAACCTTCCATAGAGACTTGTTTTTCCTATGTCTTAACACTTGTCTGTAATGAGACATCACATTGTCATTAAAAAGGTTATCGCAACGGCCTACTACAACTTTATCTGGGCAAGTTTTTTCAGCAAAACTTTGCAGTTCTTCCCATACTTCACACATTTTCTTAATGAGGAAGGGACATCTTCTACTGCCTCTACTCACAACTTTTTTTTGGGGTTGAACTTTACCACTGACTTTCTTGGGACCCATGGTGTGATATATAATAATTTTATGTTTAGAAACCAAAAAAAGCTGAAAAACAATGAAATTCTTTACAAAGAATTCAAGCCCGATCGTCACTACTTGGGATGAACTGTTAATCTGAGGCGCGGTCGCTTGTTCCGCCAGGAACCACGGGCTCGGTCGACCCATATGTGTATCAACAAACTCGCATACCCAGGCAAAGCTCGTAAACCGAATAAAATTTTATGAAGAAATTGAGCTCTTAACCCCAAAAGTTTGTAAATAGGGGCATTCGTAAGCTGAGGTTTCACTGTAGCAAAAAAAATCTCATGAACAAATTTCAATTAAGTGGGTAGACTATCTAGAAAAAAACGACTTGTATAAGAAATGTTCTGTGTAACAAATCACAGCTTTTATGGTAGAGCCATAGAGATCTTGCAAGAGAGAGAGGGTTGGGCTGACTGCATATGCCTGGGCCAAAAAATGTCATTTTACAGAGTCCCACACAGAGACTTCTGGAAGTTAGAACACAAAAGAGGACTAACTTTGATGAAAATTGTTCTAATGGAGAGACAAATGAGACAAGTGATCAGAGGAAATGTGTTAGACTAGACAGATGTCACTTGCTATGTATTGGTTGATCATAGGCTTTATTCTATACATACAGTATATGAATTGAAGGTGAGAATGTGCCAATAGTGATCGAGTTACATATACTGGCTAATTCATTACAGTAAAGTGAAGGAAGTAAAATTAAAATAACTAATACACCCTTTTTCAGATAGCAATAATGATATTTTGTATAATAAACTTTATTATCTAGAAGGGGGGTAAGGGATGCATTTTCATTGAATATCAAAGATATATACAGCAGCTTGATTATGTATGTTGAAACTTAGCTGTTAATTTGTTCTGATATTGATTGGATCTGGTTTAAAATATGCAGCATATATTTGATTGTTTACAATTTTTTATGTTAAGTGGATATTATAAAAACAAGTGTTAGGACAATGCAAACATGTACTGGCAGTCTAGTTGCTACTCACTAGACCATTGTAACTCAAGATGTACTAAAAAGTTGTACATTTTGACTCAAGATAGTTTATGAGTAATTCATGTACTGTATATCATTTTCATGACTAGTTTTGTTGTTTTATATAAAAATGTTATCTTTGGGCCTGGTTCTGTCCATCACTGTACTGAAAATGTTGGTGCTGAGATTTAATATTTGAAATTATTGTAAATGCTAATTTTATAATTATCAAATGTAAGTACTGCCTAGTAATTTTGTATATGCATTTTTGTTACAGGTTTACCCTTTTGCTGGGATCGCAGATGCTGTGGGAACAAGGACACCGAGGGTACTGATAAATTATAATGCTGTTGGTAATATTGGCAAGCGTGTCAATGATGTTATTCTTACAGGAGATCTTACAGAAAGTGTTTGGAATTTAGCAAAAGCATTAACTTGGGAAAAAAAGTTGAAAAACCTTGAACAAGAGTATGAAAGGAAATATTGTAATGAAGAATAACAAGTGCTACCAGCTGATTACATTTTTAAAATGGGTCTACACCATAAAGACATGTAATACTGTCTTAAATTGGGGTTAGCATGTAATTGAGGTGAGTGTAGCTTAAGCACTATCATTGAGATACATTACAAATGTGTTGTTAACATCATAAATACCATATTGTGTGTTTATTTCCAAACTATAGTACTGTACCTAACATTCTCTGAAATATTGGTCTTTGAACTAAATACAGAAAATATATTTTATCATCTAGAATTTTTCAAACTGTGTATGAAATTCTTCTCTTTTTCTTTAGGGCTCCTATGGTGGCATCTTGGTGCCTGTTACCTGGAAAGCTCTATTAAGTTAATCAGCTTTCCCCTTGTGAGTTGTAAGCCTACAGGGGACCAGAGGCCTAAACCTGGCCCCTTCTGAAGAGTTGCAAGGAGCAGGGGATTATAGATCACCCTAACCAAGAAAAGAGCACTAGAAAGATAGGTGAACCAAACAATACAAACAGTAAGTAAGGTAAACAAAGCATAGAAAAAAAAGACAGTGAACTCCCCGAGATGAACGAACCACCTGATCGTCAAGCAGTTCTTTCGTTAGTTCCACCTGCACACCACCAGCAGAATACCCGCCTTCCTTATCAGTCCCCCAAGCCTGTGATGTTTACTGTTACGCTTCTCTTTCCACACCAGCACTCTTCCAATTTAAATTTTTTCAGACAAGTGTTGGCCATCCTGGATAGTAGCACTTGGCCCAGCAAAGATCTTCACTGTATAACATTGTTTTTGGTACTCTTTTTACTTTTACATACCTATTTCTTTTGTGTAAATTCATTGTGTTGGGGACAGGCAGCCAGTGTACATATACATGTTAGGCTTATATCAAGGTCCCCCTTTCCTCATGGTTAAATTATTAACCTTTACAGGATGCAACCCAATAACAAGTCGACTTAACTCCTGGGTACCTATTTACTTCTAGGTGAACAGGGACATTAGGTGATAGGAAATATGCCCAAGCATTTCTGTCCCTCCTGGGATTTGAGTCGGAAACAAACCTGACTGTACTAACGGGACCCTATATACTGTATATATATTTCATAAAACTATTTTTTGTTTGGGCCTGGTTCCCATCACAATGTAATGCCACAAGTAATGCTAACTGTTGCCCAGTTTAAAATATGAGTAGATAAAATGTAATAATTTTCAATACAGATCTACCATATAAAAAACAAGTACCCTGTACAATAATTTGTTTTGCTCAGTCAGGGTGGCAGTGTTGAAAATAAGTCACACTTTGAGGGTTAAACATGTCTAACTTTCTATTATAAAAAGGCCTTAGTGATTAACCAATACAGTATCAGTAATTATTCCTCTCAGATTCTAATTCTAGTCCTTCAGTAACACATAGATGATGGCGGTAGGATTCAGGCTTGTGGTGGTCCAGTATTAAAACTTTAGGCTAGTCACTGTTATTGGTTAATAAGTGACCACCCACTTTGACTGAACGGTACAGTGAAAGTTTTGCTTCTTGCAGGTTTTCGTTCATTCCCCGACCATCCAAGTGGTTGGGCACCATTCCTTTCCTTCGTCCTATCCTAAATCTTTATCCCCATATCCCCTTCCAAATGCTATATAGTCATAATGGCTCGGTGCTTTCTCCTGATAATTACCTTACCTACCTTAGTACCTTAGATAGGCAACACTTTCGCATTGTGTTGTTGTTGTTTTGTGTAAGTGTTCTGTGTATAAGCACTGTTTAAAATAAAAGTTCAATATCTTGCTCACTTAATATTGATGGATTATAGCCATTAATAATGATATTTAAATTTAATATAACTTTATTTCATTATATTACATCATTTGACACAAAATAAGTCAACAGGTTGGTCAATTAGAGGATAAAGTGAAGAAAAATATAGTAGGCATGGTAATACATGCATGAATGGTAAACTGGTAATTTGTGACATATTAGGCCATTAGTCTTTAGTATGCGAGGCTTCAGACTATAATCAAAACAGCCATAAAAGGGTGATAATTTGCTTAGCCAATTTTTGTATCTAACTTTCTCCATTAAACCATTTTACATCAAGTGGAAATACTGCACTGCTTAATTAAAGAATGATTTCTTTCACAGTGTTATTCCTTCAACCAGAATAAGTTTTGCAATTTTTTGCATGATCCCCCATTATCATGCAAAAATAGTTGCAAATATTTTAAGTGAAATTGGATGCAACAACTGGCTTGATTAAGAGTACATAGGAATGCAACACGAGTATGAAATATGACCAGGTGCAAAAAGTTGAAAGGTTTTATAAGATTAATATGATGAGATACTAGAATATGTTGGGAAAGTGGGTGCAGTCATTGATAAAGGATAAAGTTCAAAGATTTTCATATAAAAATAGAGATGAATGCTTGATACAGTGACTAATGTCCACATTTCGTCATAGTATATGGAAGATGAAGTCAGGAGGAAGAATATAATTTTAATAATGTAGGAGGATAAAAAAACGGAAACAAGAGAAAACAGTGTTTTAGTCATTATCCTTGTCGGTTAATTGCATTAGTATACAAAGTAATATATTATACAAGCAGTGAAATATTCCCATTCAATTTTCCGTGCATAGGAATTTTTATTTTGTTTTCTTCCAATTAGGATTAATTTATTTAATAATGGATTAAAATGCAGTGTACTATTGAGAGAAAAAAGTATACAATAAATATCACTAATCAATATTATTTTATCTCTGGTTATCCATGCCTAAATTTTGATCACTGTTATTTGTTAAGTTATCCTGCCTGACAAAATGATGAGGAAATCTTGCTGGACCCAGAGTAAGAGTAGATGTAGTGGATGAAGTGGAAGTGTCGGTTGAGCCTCGGGAAGCCAGCGTTCCCCGTCCAGGACTATCGGGAACAACTTCTTTCCAACCTACTCTTTTCATACTTGAAAATTCTATTTTACACAAGTCAGGTGGTACTACAGAATTCTTTGGTTCATGAGATGGGATATTTCTATATCTAATTTGTTCACTGATACTGTTATGTCTGGAGCACACACTATTAACAGGTCTTGACCTGGCATAATAAATAGGAAATTCTTGTGATATCCCACCATGACTTCCTTGAGCTTTTTGTGTACAGAGTTGAGGGTTACTACAAAAATTGTTTTGGCAACATATATTTGGATTGAGCTCCATAGTAGGATGGGGAAAAACACATTGTAGGCTATTATAGGTGTAGTTATGGTCTGAATGGGAACGCTGTAGTGTGTTGTACTGTGAAGGTTTCAGACAACTTCTACGTGGTTGTAGTGTGGCATATCCTCCTGGAACATCTGTAAAATGTAAAACTGTATTTACAAGTTTAGAACATAATTTATTTGAAATGAAAAGCAATACACATTTGTTATCATGACTTAACTTTTGCTATCTTCTTAGTTCAGTAACTACTTGAGCAAGCACGTAACTTGGTCAGGTTAAGGCCGGTACTGATTCCCTGATCTTGCAGGTGCAGGTGACATTCCACCACTCCACTAGGAAATAATCCAGAAAGTCGGCAAATCAGTACAGACCACTGCCGAGTTCAAAGAGACTGAAGCCTCAAAACTGCAAAATGAAACTTCCCTAACAATGTAAACAACCGAATCTCTCAAAACAAGTGCGAGGTCATTAGCACCACCCCCAACTGTGGATGAAGCTTGAGGGGTGGGCAGAGCCTCAGGTGCTCACTGGGCTATGAGGTCAGTTCTGTTGGTGATGCAGATTTTGTAACACGTCCACTGTAGGGCTCCCGGGGTCATCAGCATGCCATGGCAGAAGTCACTGCTTCTCAGCTAAGTGCCAGCCATCTTTGGACTTTGTCCTGCAGGGGCCTTTTTTTTTTTTGTATTTTTTTGCACTTCAAAAGTGTGCTATTGTAAGGTTTGGTGTTGCATGCTCCTGACTTGTAGTGTGCTTGGAGCTGCATGTGCTCATGGTGCACTCCTAGCTAGTGGAGATAGTAGTACTAATGAACTTTCACTTGTTTAGAGATATTCAATGGTTTACATTATGGGGGATTTTCATTTGACAGTTTTGAGTCTTTGGCTCTCTAGAACCCAGTGGTGATCTGTACGGGTTTGTTGACTTTCTGGATGCATTTCCAGTGGGGTGGCAGTGTGTTAGCTGCTCTGTTCCTCTGAGGGGACCCAGTTTTGGTTCTGGTCCCCAGTAGGCCAAATGGAACCCCACAGCTGATGTGGCATAGTAGTTGGGAGCCATCTCAGCGAAATAGCTTCAGAGAGCTACCGGGCTCACCCAGAAAGTGGCATTTCATTACATTTAAGGTTTTTTTTTTTTTTTTTTTACAATTGTTTCAGACAAATATCTAAAAAATATAAATGATTTAAATGAACAGTAGAGACTTATTCAATACAAGTTTTTTTTTCAAATATGCATTTTTTATTTTAAAATATTATGTCTCAATTATCTCTAATTATTGTACTAGTTTTCAAATGCAGTACAATATTATACAATGCAGATAAAATTTGTTTTCATATTCCAGGAAAAAAGTTACTACAGTAAATTGAGCAGTGGTGTAAAGGCCCCCTCCCCCTCCCTTCATGTAGAATCTTTATGATAAATTGAATTGACTACCAATATACTTTTGAGGTGACAAAAAACTGGAAATATGTATGAGGTCATATACGAGATAAAATGTAGGGTACCTCAATCCTAGCAACTGTGTTATGGTAATTTTTAACACAATTCATTACCCTCAAACAATTAATATGTGATTGGTAAAGATTTCCGGTAAAATCTTCTGAAAAATATTTGGATTATAATTGATCTCTAAAGGCTCATTTTTTCCATGACTATAAGAAACTTAATATTAGCTCTAACTTTTATTTTAATTGTATTTGTCTACAAACATTTGATTAAAATATACAGTAAATTTATACTATATATCTGCCAGCACTAGTGTGAATTATGGGATCCACAAAAAGTGTTAACTAGCTTTTGATTGGAGGAAATGATCTGAACATATACGAAGGTGGCAATTCATAATTGAAACATGATCTTTAGTCATGAGGAAATCTTTCATTTCATGAAACACATTTTTAGGGCATTTACTTATTTCTAGTAAATATAATGGTCTACTATATCTCTGATTTGAAGAAATGTTCTTGTCCAAAGAGGAAAAGGGACTCCTAGAGAAAATGGAGAGAGTAGAGGGGGGTTCCCGGCAAAACAGAGGTGTAGTGTACATCTCAGGTGAAAGGGAGTGGGTGGGGGTTGTATACAAGCAAGCAAGCAAGCATAAGCATGTGGATATGCAACAGGTTTTATGTAGGTGGGTTCAATGACCATAAGTACGCATATTCCTAATTCATTACCTGTAATGAGGGATTGCCTGCAAGTGGCATCACAACAGCTTGCAGAAGTTGAAAGTCTAGAAGGATTCAGGTTTGGATGCAAGGTTGACATCTGCTTGTCCTTTGACATTTGTTGACAACATGGGTAGTCTTGTTGATAGTGCTGGAGCTGTTGCTGCTCTATCTGCTGTTGTATATGTGGCTGACCATGATATATAACTTTAGTTGTCAGCCTAGATGGTCGATGACAAGGAGAATAAAATTTTGGGCGAGTCTGTCCTGATACAAAACTGTATGAACTGCTACTGTGATGGGACGATAAAGATGCATCGTCATCTTCTGAATATGGATTTAAAGCTTCTTGTTCCTTTAGTAAAGGTTTACAACTACTGGTGGCCACTGGGCAAACATCTGGGTTATTTAATGAATGAACTGTAGTAGTGTATTCCATGGACATCTTATTTTCTAATTTTGGAGAACTACCAGGCATCAATTTAGATACAGAGATCTTAGGAGATGACTTATCATTTTTAAGATGATACGCATCATTCTGAACACTGATCCCTCCATTCAGTAAGGGGCTTGTACTTCTAGATTGGGGACTTGTACCCATTAGTGGTGTGGTGAGGGGCTCTGGTGGTTCCACATTAATGAGTGGATTTATAAGGCTGGTCTGCTCGCATTCCTCTTCTCTTGTCTGCAATTCAATAGACTGAAACACACACAAAATTTACATTAAAATTTACATTACATAAATACACATTAGGCAATATATAAGTTAATTTTATTATAGCACATGTTTTATGTTTAAAACTATCAGTTTTAAACTTAGGCCTATAAGGTTTCATATGAAGTAGATTTTTGTTTCAAGGGAAGATAGCCAAAGCTGTTAATAAACAACTGAGTGTTTATTACATGATTTTGCTGATATTTTCCTGCATACTATAAGAATCAAATGTTTCTGCAATATGCAGCAGCTACCTTAAACATTACTAGCTAGATTTTTCAAGTTGACAAACTGCTTTATCTATCGAACAAATCCACAAGGGCTGTGATGAGGGTTCGAACCTACGTCCGGGATGATCCCGACGCGCCTTAGTCGACTGCACCACGACATGGTTAAAAGAATTGCAACCTGGAACGATACTGTCCTCACAAAGATCCCCAGCTTCTCCGAAGTACAAACCGGTGTTTCACACAATTCCCCCATGCACCCGGGCTCTGTCAACCAGATATTCACCTCTTTGCCCTTACTTCAGTACATATAGAAATCACAAGTGTGATATCAAATGAACAAATCCATAACAGCCGTGATGAGGGTTCGAACCTACGTCTGGGATCATCCTGGACATAGGTTCGAACCCTCATCACGGCCCCTTGTGGAGTTCTTCATATGATATATATCGTGCTATTGTATGTGTAATGCTTTATCTGTTGTTATTCTTTATAAACTAGTAGAATGCAAATTTGTATGGTTTGTGGTTTTTTAAATCCTCTAATTCATAAATTTGATTGAAAACCATGCACAATTTTATTTCTGACCTATCCTTTTCTATTCATTAAGATGAAAATCTGTACTATTATAGAACAGGTTCATGAACAGTGAGGGAAGGGGGGGAGGTAAACTTTCTGGTACTGGTACCAATGGAAACTTTTCATATGGTCCCTGAAGGGTAATACTGAGCACTGCAGAATACTCATTCTGGGTGAAATTACTACGTACTAGTAGATTGATTCACATACTTTAAAAGTCCTTCAATGCCCTACTGAAGGACATTGTTAATGGTCTCACCTGGTACTCTGGAGGAGGGACATCATTAAATGAAGTTAATGGGAGCTCATCTCCACTACTAGCAGCTCCAGAGGTTGGAGTGTAAAGCTCCAAGGCCGTTGTCTTGCTTGAAGAAGCTTTGAAATGTCACAGAGAAAATTAATGATTTTTTTAGCAAACTTATTTTAGTTCATGTTAGAAAATGGCAGTTTTATATTAAAGAAAAACTTGTTAACCATAATAATTAATTAAAAAACATACACTAATCTGTAATATAAAGTTTTTTATGTACTATAATGTTCACATAAGATTAAATGAAAGGAAAATTTTTTGTTGGCAAAATTATTTTTTTAACAACCTTAATCATTCACACAATTTAAAAATCATGTGGCCTATAATTTGTGAGGAGGTTGTGCTTCTACACAAAATGTACAAGTAAAAATACACTTGGGTCAAACAAGGGGGACTATAGAAAAATGAAGTAGGTTCCATTCTCCAAAAAGCCACTTTTTTCCACTCTTGACTTGATAAACAGTCACAGATTCTTGGAAAGTGTAGTGATGCAAGAATTAAATCAAAACCTTCATAAAACATAAGAATGTAGCATGCGAGAGAGAGAGTGGTACACTGCAGAAAATGAAGAAGACCAGTGTTTTAAAAAAGTATAGTATTCTTGCTACTCCACACACAACCAATGTAGGCTATTGTTGAGATTCACCTGTGCTCTACACAATGTGGAATGCTTACACATTTCACTGTTGAATCCATGCCCTCCAAAACTGCCTATAGCACGGGCCACTTGTATGGGCTAATTATAATATGAACAGTAACATGTAAAACATGAAAGTATTTTGCATGTTAAAAATGAGAAAACTCCCAATAAATGTGTATTTAATTTATATTTTTTAAGTGGAAAATTTAAGTCCATAAAATATAAATACAGTAATTTTTAAATTCTAATCCTGTACAAAATTGCTTCTAAAATGGTAAAAGAATAATCCTACATTCTGCACACTTTACTGATGGGAACACAAATTCAATATCATTATTACCTGACAAATTTCTTTTCATGGCTCGCCTCCTGACAAAGCAGACAATTATTGCGACATTAAGGACTAGGAGAGCAGTTGCCGTGAGAGAGATGAGAAGCAGAATAAGGAGAGGCACCCGAGGCTGTTGACTGTCCATGCTGCTACTGCTGCTTGCGGCTTCCTCCACCAACCCTGACATAAAACACAGCTCCGTGAGGTCTCATCTTCCAATAGAAATTTTAAGTTGGTACTGTATGACATGTGTAAAAACACAGTTCATGGAAGATTTGCAAATGCTTAATTATACTGAAAATTGTTTTCACATAATTTTGTAGTTTTTTTTTTGTGCAAGGAACACGCTTCGATGATAATAGTATAAGCAAAATAATTAATGATTATGGTTCATTTATAATTACCATACAAAATATTATTTGAGATAACTGTATGAAATAGTAAAAGTTAATGGACTTCATAGCCAAAAGTATACAGTACAGTATCTGACAAGGTGTACTCGCTGGATAAAAAAGTGAATGTAATCTGTATAAAATCATCCCATAACTATGAACTTAAATAACAGGAAGGGCTACAAGTTACAGGACTTATATAACACTAAAAAAAAAAAAAAGTTTAACTAGGCATCCCTTTTAAATACCTGTATGTGATAATTAACAAGATTTAACAGCAAATTATCCTCAATGACCATTTTTTTTTTCTAAGGTGCTTACTAATTATAATTAATTTATCATTAGAAGCCACAAATTTAAGCTTGCCAAGTTTACCTAATCTCAAGGAAAGGACTAACAAGAAGCACTTACTTCAGTCAAATAAACCATTGGGGAGCACCACACCCGGCCTTCTGACCCATACTAGGCAGGTTATGTTGAAATCCACCCACTCCCACTCTTGTACCTAATCATCCACCCACTCCTACTCTTGTACCTAATCAATCTATTCTTGAATCCTGTTAAACTTTTAAACAATGGCAGAGTACTTACATTATCATTATATTTTATATGACACCATTAATGAACCCCCAAAATTTAGCTCCTTTACTTGCTACAATGACTTACCGAGCATTGTGACCCTGACTGGAGGAGAGCTGAAGTTTGAGTGACCATACTCATTGTAGGCTAAAATGGCAAAAGAATATTCTGCACCAGGTGTTAAATTCCTAATGGTTGTAGATGTTGAGTTACTGGTTGGGATATCCACAAACTGAGGACAAAATGGATGAAGGGTTTAATATAGAAAATGATAATTTTAATAAGAGTACTATATCACAATGTAGTGTTAGTTTCTATTATTCTTGCATGATTCCTAAGAGCATTAGTAAAAGAGATCTGTTAAATATTTAGAGGAAAGGGAAGTATGGGAGAACCGAGATTGACTCAAAACTGCAAAACTGCCCAGAAAGTACAGTGCAGGCAAAGCAAAATAAACTACAGTATGCATTTCTGTCTTGGCGGCCTTGGTAGCTTCCCGTACCCCACAGTTATTTGTTCAACTTTCCTGTGAGAATTGTTGCACCTTGGGGAGGCGGCATATGAATGTGGAAGAAGGATAGCTGGACCCCTGGGTGACCCGAGCTGCTACCTGGTGGTATGCATGGGGTACTAGCACTTGTTTTGTTGATAATGAGTAAACTACCACTTTCCCTTTTCCCATTTTCTCTCTCCTTAAGGACTTCTGGGGCTGATGTGACTTGTGTGTGTGGAGCTATTGCCTGTGGTTAGCTGCAGGGAACTACTGTTTGGCCCTACCAGAAATCCTGGAAAAAGCCCTCAAGAGCAATGAAGGACCTTTGACAAGCTGCCAGCTTACTGTCCCCAGTGAGGTCACTAGAGATAATGGCCCTTAGAAAAATTCTGGTAAATCTATCAACATAATACATACAAATTAGATGTTTAAATTCATAAACCTCCTGGGTAAATACTGCTTTGGAAGCAGAGTTGTTAATTTATGGAACAGATTATTATACTATTAGTCATGGGATTGCTGAATTGTTGTTATTACTGATGCTAACCTAAATGTATGTTAGATATATATATATATGAGTGAGCTTGGTTTAAGATCTAAGTAGCAACACTTGTGTGGTGTCATCTGCATTATGTCTTTATATTTCTTTACCTTTGAGAATTTACATTTGATCTATGAAATGGTTACCTTCCTGGAAATCTCATGCAGATTGAAATTACTCACTTTTCCAACTTCTCAGTAAAACATCTTCTCCCATGTTTAATAAACAAGTTTGCATGTATTTAAAAAGCTACGAAAAGCACGGGTGGAACTGTGATGCAGAAATCTAGGCATCATGCATGGAGTTGCTAGTCAAAATCATTGCATTTGAGGGCAGAGAGACGAGATTACGGAGGACACACAAGGAAACAAATACAGCGAGACATCTACCAATGAACCTTGTGCTACTAACTCCAAAAGTACGTAGACCAACTGAACTACAGTATCTATCTATCTTGAGGTTATCTTGAGATGATTTCGGGGCTTTAGTGTCCCCGCGGCCCGGTCCTCAACCAGGCCTCCACCCCCAGGAAGCAGCCCGTGACAGCTGACTAACACCCAGGTACCTATTTTACTGCTAGGTAACAGGGGCATAGGGTGAAAGAAACTCTGTCCATTGTTTCTCGCCGGCGCCCAGGATCGAACCCGGGACCACAGGATCACAAGTCCAGCGTGCTGAAAAATCTAACACCATCAATATTCTTTCTCTAATGTTGCACACAATAGTCATTACCTAAATTTGAAAGCAAGTACTTGCCTGCATGTTAATTACTGGTAATTAATAACTATTGCAAAAGTTACTATTCCTGTTAACTTTTAAATCATTGCAAATTCTCAAGTGTATCCTGCAACTACTTTGTAGGGCAGAAGAATGCACAGGTTAGTGGCTCTGCTAGAATTCATTTTCACACTTAAATTTAACAGACAATATACTGTTAATAAATAAATAATGTATTTATAATGAATAATAATATAATAAATAATGTATTTATAAAAAATTACAATAATGTAAATAAATAAATAAATAAATAAAAATAAATTTCTCATATGGCTAAAATAGCTCTTTCACAAACCCATACAATTCACATATAGCCAAATTTGCCACTACACACACACATGACATTTACCTTAAAAACAAATTATGTACAGTACTGTATATCCAAACTTGTGTGCGCTCCACATTTGTGGATATCAAGGGTCGACAACACTAACTAGATGGAAGGACGGCTTTAGTGAAGCATGAGCTCGAAGGTATAGATGCACAAAAATATGCTCAGGACAAAACTGACCGAGAAAGAGGAAGGGAGAGAGAGGAGAGAAGACCTAGTTTGACTAACTTTATAATCAGGAATGCCAAGCACAAAGAGGAATGAATTCAGTGCAATTTCTAATTTGAAAAAAATGACAAGGACTTACTTCATAGTTCTGAGTATTGATGGCATGGTACCGCACAGTATAACCTACAGGCTGTGCTCCGGAATGGTTCTGCATCCATGTCACAATAGCAACACTAGTGGACATTGTCACAATCTAAAATGGAAATGAAGCAGTGAGGAAAGAGCGATATGGATATGGATATGGATATGGATATATGGATATATGGATATATGGATATATATATATATATATATATATATATATATATATATATATATATATATATATATATATATATATATATATATATATATATATATATATTGCAGTAAATTATTTAATTATGTTTGGCTAAGTGTGATAGTGAAAAACCTAGGTGAAGTTAAAAATAAGAACAGAGGGGAGAGAGTGAGGAGGGGAAGGATGTTGGTGGGTGGATAAGGGTGTAAGTATGTCTGTCCAAGAGTAGTAACTGGATGAGAACTATATTTTTTGTACTCTTTCTTCCCTTTAAGCTCTGTCATATGACATTTACAAGCTTCTAATAATTTTAGAATACTTAAATTATATTATTTAATCCATCTGCCATTACTTGCAAAAAATAGTAGTTATGCATGTTCTTTTTCCTTTTGGCTCGTTTACTTTCTTGAGTTTATATCATGTAATTTTCAATGTTACAGGTTTAAAAAAAAAAAAATTCTTCCTTATAAACTTCATTAATTCTTGTTACAATTTTGCACATGGTAATAATGTCACCTTTCATGTGTCCACTAGTGCATACCTGCTGATAGGCAAGCACTGGTCTAGTTAATGCCTCCAGCCTCTTCTCACAGTTCTTCTACTTTAGGACTGGGAATATTTTAGTACTGTATTGTCTTTCGATCTTTTCTAGTTTACTCTTTTTATTGTGATACAAATGTTACATATTCTAGTTTAGGTTTCACATATGTCATGAACAATGTTTTCAGCATTTCTCAATCCATGAATTGAAATACAAATCCAATTGCCATTTATTGCTCCATGAACTTATTTTGTCTAGGTCATTCTGAATAGCATGGCAGTCATCTAGGTCTTCTTGTAACCAGTAGATTAGCATCTTCTGCAAACATCATCTTGAGGTTATCTTGAGATGATTTCGGAATAATGATGAGTAATGATGAACATTATTGGCACTGGAAGCAAGCCTTATAGGCTCTACTTGGCATTCCTCCAGTCAGTTTCATTGCCTCTCTTCACTACGCTCATATTTCCATATGTTAAGAAATTCTGCATCCAAGCGAGTACTGTAGTATGCTTGTCACACCACCTGTGTGTTCTAAATTCCAGAACAGTGTCTTGTCTTGGACAATCTAATGCATTTTCAAAATCTAGATTAATGTGCATAAAGTTCTCACCTAGATGTGTCTACCTTGATTGGTGGTTCGAGTCACTAATTTTACCATAAATATATATCATGTTAGTGTCATTTCATTGTGAAGGCATATGTAGTTCCAATATTCAGAAAGAGGACAGACATAGATCACTAAACTATCGACTAGTGTCATTAACATGCATTCCATAGTAAGATTCTGGACAAAAATCAGAAAAAGGATTATAGAACATTTAGGGAAGAATAGATTTTATATGAGACAAAATGGCTTCAGAGGGAACAATCACGCTTAACTATACTGAATTCTATGACAGGGGTCACCAAAGTAAGACAAGAGAATGATGGAAAGGTAGACTATATCTTCTTGGACTGCCAAAAAGCTTTTCACACAGTTTCTCACAAAAGACTAATACACAACTTGGAGAGACAAGTGAGAATAACATGAAAGTTACTGGACTCGGCACAGGAGTACTTGATGGACTGGAAATAAAGGGTAATAGTCAGACAGGATGTGTCAGCCTAAAGAGGTGGAAAGTGATGTTTCACAGGGCTCTGTCCAAGTACCCTGGCTCTTTTTTCATTTATATAAATGCCCTAACAGAGCGCATGAGCTCACACATGTCGATGTTTGCAAGACACAAAGTTAATAAGAAGAGCAAGAACTGAAGAGGACTGTAGGGTACTGCAAGAAGACCTTGTCAAATTTAGGGAGTGGGCAGGTGAATGGCTACTGGAATTCTATCTAAATAAGCATAAAGTATTGAAAATGGGTAAGGAAATATCTGTATTAAACTACATCATAAGGAGAAGGCAACTTCAGTACAAAAAACAATAAGAGAAAAAGACTTGGAAATGAACATAATCCCAACACTAACACTGGAAGCTCGCCTAAACAGGATAACATCAGCAGCATATGGAAAGCTAGCAAACAAATAAGCTAAATAAGGAGGCTTAAAGTTCATACGCACTACTTATGTAAAACCATTATTTGAGTATGCAGCACCACCATGGAACCAACACCTTGTGAAGCATTAACAGAAACTTGAGAAAGTTCAAAGGTTTGCAACCAGATTAGTACCACATATTAGAGTTCTCGGCTATGAGAACAGGTGAGAACTCATCCTCACAACCTTAGACAAGAGAAGAAACAGTAACTTTGAACAAGATCTTGAGGGGGAATAGACAAAGTGGATAAAAGAACCGTATTTAAAAAAAAGAGGTAGGACAAAGGAGCATTGGTGGAAGGTGAACAGGCAGTCAAGAGATGTAAGGAAGTTTTCATTCCCTGTACAGATGGTTGGCAAGTGGAATGCACTGAAGGAATAGGTTGTTGAAGCCAATTCCATCCACATATAAAAAATATGATGAAAATGTTAAATGTATAAATGAGGCAATTAGCACATCAGGTATGAATGCCTAGGAGGTGGAGCATAAAGAGCAAAATCTCAATCTCCTGCAGTTACTGATAGATATGCACTAACAGGTAAGCATATCAAAGCCAGTTTGCACATTGAAGGCTCTTATCCTACACTTTAGAACCTTACTTGCACGTTTCAAATTTTCAATCTGTAAGATGTGGCAATATCACTAATACGTTATAACTACATTAGCCATTTATTTCTCATTAATGCTATCCTAAATGATTTGATCAACTGAACAAAATTACTTACATTCAAGTTAATTGGAACACTAGGTACGATGGGTGCGCCGAGGGTGAAATTGAGAGCGTATGAACCTTGGGCATTATGGGCGGTGCAGGTGTAGTCAGTATAATCATGGACAGTCACACTCCTGATTTCTAACACAGATGACCACTCAATCACCTTGTCAACCAGCTGACAAATTAAATATTTCTTTATAGTGAAAGCTTGTAATTAAATGAAAATTGAATGAACACCAACAGTAAACCAAATCAATATACATTTCACATATAATAGGACAAACAATTTGCAAGACTCAAATACTTAGCTATTAACAATTATAATATCTAATTTCTCTTAAGGTATTGAGGGACCCAAATACAGAATATATTGTAGGCAAAGTGTTAAAGACGATGAATGACAATTCTTTTTGATGACTGCCACACAATGGTACTAAATAACCAATGCATCTTGGCCACGTCATAAACTGTTTAAACTTTAAGTCAATGAGAACTGTAACATTGCCATTTATTAATTCGCCTAATATCATCAATAAACATCACCCATTTCTTGCACGCTAAATCTGGCAACCTCCCCCCGCTCACACACAAGCACGCCACAAGAATGAAGGAAGAGGATGTTCTGTCAATACTGGATCTAATATTTACCAGGAAAGAAGAAGAGATATTTGATATCCAGTACCTTCCTCCCTTGGGAAAGAGTAATCATGTCCTGTTTGAAATGAAATATGCTTTACGATATAATCCAGCAGAGAATGGGGACATTGAAACAGTTGACAAACTCGATTTCAAGAGAGGACAGTATGGAGAACTTAGAAAATGTTTAATGAGTTTAATTGGACAGACTTTTTGCTAGGAAAGGAAGTAAAGAGATGTATGCTAAATTTTGCAAAATATACGATGAAGGAACACAAACATTCATACCAAAACAGAGATGCAAGACAAGGAAACAATATTTGTTCAACAGAAATTGTGAGAGGGCCAGAGAGCATAAAACAAGAAAATGGGTTAAATATCGGAAAAGTCCTAACCCCGCAAACATACCAGCATTACAAGTAAGCAAGAAACAACTACAAAGCGGTGAGGAAAGAAGCAGAAAGGAACTTTGAGAAAGTTATAGCGGACAAATGTAAAACAGATCCAGGCCTTTTCTATAAATTCATTAAAAGCAAGCAGCATGTAAAGGATAAAATCCAGAGATTGAGAACAGGGAACAGAACTACTGGGAATGGAATAGAAATGTGTGAAATGCTAAATGAACAGTTCCAAAGTGTGTTTGTACAAAATGAGGAGTTCAGAGAGCCTGACCAAATACCAATTCCAGAGAATACCATAGAATACTCCATCTGAGTGACAGGGTGACTCCATTTGGGCGTTTGTGACTTGTCAGGTCTGCACATCTGAGGTTACCTTTGTGTTGGACACCCAGCTGTAGCTAAACTTCTCTTAATGTCAGGCAATCTTTCTCTGTGACTCATCTTTCGACAGATGAGACCATGGTTGCTGTATTGGTCTGCCGACGCATAGCTGCAGATACACCGGTGTTAAGTGTTCAGTTCAGTGGGCAGAAAGAAGCAGGGCAAAACCAATAAGTAGAGCCCAATGGTCCAGGCGGGTGTCCAAGGCTGAATTAGGGATAGCCAACAGAAAGTCCCCGGCATAGGGAGCTTGCACAGCTAGGAGGCATGCTCTGTCCTTCCCAGAAGCTGCCTCCAGTAATAATGTTGCAGTGTTCTCCACTATGGGGTTATCCCATTTGGCCTGTTTCCAGTCGTTTGGAAAAGTTGGTCGAGGTTGAGAGTTTGGCAAGATTGTTCCAATAGCCGGCTCCGTATGTGAATTTGGGATCATAAATCCCAATGGAGTGTGAGTGTGTGTAATTACCCAAGTGTAGTTACAGGATGAGAGCTATGCTCATAGTGTCCCGTCTACCCAGCACTCTTTGTCATAGTGAGGAGAGAGGCAGTGAGGACAGAGGCAGAAAGATATTTTGAAAAAGGGATTGTGGACAAATGTAAAACATAACCAGGTCTATTCTATAAATTCATAAATAACAAATTGCAGGTAAAGGATAATATTCAGAGGTTGAAAATGGGAAATAGATTCACAGAAAATGAAAAAGAAATGTGTGAAACATTAAACGAAAAGTTCCAAAGTGTGTTTGTGCAAAATGAAATCTTCAGGGAACCAGAAACAATAAGAATTCCAGAGAACAGCATAGAGCACATAGAGGTGTCTAGAGATGAAATGGAGAAAACGCTAAAGGAGCTAAGTAAGAACAAAGCAGTTGGTCCAGATGGAGTTTTACCATGGGTTCTGAGAGAATGTGCACCTGAGCTCAGCATTCCACTTCAATTGATTTTTCAGGCATCCCTGTGTAAAAAGAGTTGTAGTTGATGTGTGGAAAAAGGCTAACATCATCCCAATCTACAAAAGTGGCAGCAGGGAAGACCCCCCTCAATTATAGACCGGTATCATTGACAAGTGTAATAGTCAAAATATTGGAAAAAATCATTAAAACTAAATGGGTAGAACACCTGGAGAAAAATTATATAATATCAGACAAACAGTATGGTTTTCGTTCTGGAAGATCCTGTGTAACGAATTTACTCAGTTTCTATGATCGAGCTACAGAGATTTTACAGGAGAGATGGTTGGGTTGACTGCATCTAATTGGACCTAAAAAAGACTTTTGACAGAGTTCCACATAAGAGGTTGTTCTGGAAACTGGAACATATTGGAGGGGTGACAGGTAAGCTTCTAACATGGATGAAAAATTTCCTAGCTGATAGAAAAATGAGGGTCGTAATCAGAGGCAATGTATCGGATTGGAGGAATGTCACAAGTGGAGTACCACAGGGTTCAGTTCTTGCACCGGTAATGTTCATAGTCTACATAAAAGATCTACCAGATGGAGTACAGAATTATATGAACATGTTTGCTGATGATGCTAAGATAATAGGGAAGATAAGACACCTAGAAGATTGTCATGCCCTTCAAGAAGACCTGGACAAAATAAGTATATGGAGCACCACCTGGCAAATGGAATTTAATGTTAATAAATGTCATGTTATGGAATGTGGAATAGGAGAACATAGACCCCATACAACCTATATATTATGTGAGAAATCTCTAAAGAATTCTGATAAAGAAAGAGATCTAGGGGGTGGTTCTCGATAGCAAACTATCACCTGAGGACCACATAAAGAACGTTGTGCAAGAAGCCTATGCCACACTTTCTAACTTCAGAATTGCTTTTAAATACATGGATGGCGAAATACTAAAGAAATTGTTCACGACTTTTGTTAGGCCAAAGCTAGAATATGCAGCTGTTGTGTGGTGCCCATATCTTAAGAAGCACATCAACAAACTGGAAAAGGTGCAAAGACATGCTACGAAGTGGCTCCCAGAACTGAAGGGCAAGAGCTACGAGGAGAGGTTGGAAGCATTAAACATGCCAAAACTAGAAGACAGAAGGAAAAGAGGTGATATGATCACTACGTACAAAATAGTAACAGGAATTGATAAAATCGACAGGGAAGGATTCCTGAGACCTGGCACTTCAAGAACAAGAGGTCATAGATTTAAACTAGCTAAACACAGATGCCGAAGAAATATAAGAAAATTCACCTTCGCAAATAGAGTGGTAGACGGTTGGAACAAGTTAACACTTTCGCGCTCTCCGCAAAGGTCACTCAGCCAACCGAATGTGCGCGCTGCGTTTTTATCGCTTAAGCGTAAAAACAAAAATGTGTATACTCTTTTTACTCTCCTGACCTTAGTTCTCATGCTACGTATTTCATTTTGGCACCAACGTGTTTGCAATAAAATTCTCTAGAAGAACATTAGTAAAATAAGTCACGAAACATATAGGGATACCAGCACCAAATAAATAACTACGTAGATGACTCGCCGTGAGCGCCCATCAGCAACAAAATGTTTTTACTCTTGGGATTATAATCACCTCCACACTTGTTCTACAGCGTTAATTTTGGTATCAATGGACTCGCAATGAAATTCCCAACACGGTGATATGAATATAAGCGTTGAATATTGATGCAGCCCGCCCGCAAGAGTGTGGGAAGTGGTGAAATTGTTACCCGGTATCGGTGACGGGACGACGCACAGCGCTTTGAAAGTTTATACTTATTTCACTCTCATGACATTAATTTTCTATGTACGTCATTCATTTTCATGTCAATGTATTCGCAATAGAATGTTCTATGTGCCCATAGGTAAAAAATATCAACAAAGCGTAAGTTAGAATAGCGACAAATATAAAACAACGCTGGAACATATCAGTGAGCGTCAAACACACACGAAATATTTTTACTTTTGTTATGTTTGTCAAGATTATACTTGTTGCACACAGTTATTTTTGGTTGTATATTGATCGGAATAAAATTCCCTAAACAGACATATGCATATAATACATGATATGGGGGAAGAATTACCAGTATAAACGGCTAAAGTCACCCACCTGCAACCCGTTTGGGACAAAATACCATTTGATCGACGTTATCCACACCTTTCATGAACTTATTGTACCATGCAGCCTAGTGGTGAGAAAGAGAGCCTCATAGCGCGCAGTTTGAAACAAACCCAAAGTAAATCGGATAAAAATTGAATTTTATACAAATATTTTAAAAGTTGACATAACTTTATGTCCACTATGCGTTTACGTTAGACGAAACCGAACGCGCCGGCGCGTCCAGATAGCGCGAAAGTGTTAAGTGAGAAGGTGGTGGAGGCCAAGACCGTCAGTAGTTTCAAAGCGTTATATGACAAAGAGTGCTGGGAAGACGGGACACCACGAGCGTAGCTCTCATCCTGTAACTACACTTAGGTAATTACACTTAGGTAATTACACACTTGGGGCCTCGCAACTGAGTGGACAGCACTCAGGGGTCGTAGTCCTGAACGGCCTGGGTTCGATTCCTGACAGAGGCAGAAACAAATGGGCAGTTTCTTTCACCCTGATGCTCCTGTTCATCTAGCAGTAACTAGGTACCTGGGAGTTAGACAACTGCTACGGGTTGCTTCCTAGGGATGTGTGTGTGTACATGTGTTAGAAAGAAATATATGTAGTAGACATAATAGAGGAAAAATAGATTGGCTAGAAAGGCAGGGTCCAAGAGCTAAATACCTTGATTTGCAGACACACATATTAAACACACACATACATTAAGACAGGATTAGGATTAAGACAGAGGACAACATTAGGTTTCAAAAGACCTGAACAAACTGAAGGAATGGTCCAACAAATGGTTATTTGAGTTTAACCCAAGCAAATGTAATGTAATGAAGATAGGTGTAAAGAGCAGGAGGCCAGATACAAGGTTTCATTTGGGAGATGACATTCTTCTAGAATCAGAGAGAGTGTCGAGTTGTCGAGTCGAGTTCTTGAAAATTGGTACCACATTAGCAACCTTCCACGACTCTGGCACTCTACCTGACTAGTGATTTATTAGATATGGTAGACAATGGCTCACAAAGCTCGTCTTTACATTCATTAAGCACACACTTATTGTGTACATGTTCCCTGGTCCGCTGGTAATGACTGCTGTTTGATCCGTTCATTCTAGAGTGTTTTACGTCTGAGCATGTGTTCCGTGTCAAAGTATTCATCTCAATGATATTTGTTAACTGTCATAACCCACGCGGGGTTAATGATTCCACCATTAACGTTGTGGTGTTAGTATATCTGGAATTTGTAATTAGAGTTGTGAGAAGATTGTAAGGTAAAGTAATGGCTAAGTCCCAGTTTTGGTGGGACCAGTATTCAGAATAACACTATTCAAAACAATAAATATTCTGTGAAAATATAACTTCCATTTAATAGTTATCTTGTAAAGTAACTTTAAGATCTAGAAATAAAATCCTTTGTAATAATAGAAATTATTATTTTCCCTGTTTGTATACTTTAATCTTGTTTGGCCCCTGGAGTGAGGAAGGTGTTCCGGTTCAAGGTTCGGGATGTTTGATGTTTGGCTATAAGGAATATTATAGAGCAAACTCTAGTTGCCTCTATATTTCATACAGTAAAGGCCAGGTTTCGATAGTTTGTACTCTAGGGCATGGCTTAGAAGCTCGTGCCACCTTACAATCCAAGTGCCAGTGTGGCAGTTCTTGGAGATCACTAACCTAACTCCAGTAGAATGCTTGACCAAAAAAGGCAAGAGCCCATGAGCCCATGACCCAACTAAAAAAGAAAAAAGAAAAAGAAAAAAGCGAAACTAAGCCATACAGATGCTCTGCCACGGGATGACCCATTTGGATACACTGAACAGTCCGTGCACCCATACAAAGTACAGTAACAAATATACCCCTGTTGCAGAACATCATGCAACTCCCTGGTATAAACTCCAGAAGACCACGAATTAATCCAAGAACACAGGTAATATTAATTACCTTAAGGAGACACTGTTCTTTATAATAATCATAAAATATCAGTCATACGGTAGGTTTAATTAAGAGGTGCCACTTTACCTGTGAGACATGAATGAAATACTTGTTGCTGTTAGAAATCAAACCCTTCCTATTAGTGGCCCATCTGAAAGTTGGTGCTGGTGCGGCCTTAACTCGGCAGTCCAGCCATGCACTCTCTCCAATATGAGCCCATGACCTGCCTATTTCTTCCTCTTCTATATTCGTAGAGGCTGAAGTAGGCTCCTCTGATGAACATATACCATATGCATTAGCAAATATAAAGGATGGTGTTTTATGTATTTGTAATGACTGAGAAACTCAAAATATTGTGTTGGCATGCTCCAGCAATGGTAGTGTGGGTTTTTTGTGTAGCCTTTGGTGTCCACCGCTGGTATACCCAGAAAGATGAACTTTTCTTACAATATCAAACCCTGAGAGTTTAGTATAGTTAATTTATTATGCACCCCATACCCAGCCTGTGGGCAGAAGTTGAAAAGGTTACACTGGCACATAATGGGCTCTGGGACTTGACCCCAACATTCATTTAGCTAAGCTGATTAGTCTTGATAAGCCAGTTACACATTTTAATGAATATTACAGTATTACATCAACAATCAGTTTGAGAACGACCACAAGTACACACTCTTTCCCGCAATCCACCATAGAGTGACGGAGGGTGTGCAAATAATTTTGATTACACAGTTTACATTTGGTCAGGTCTACATCAGCAGATAATGGAAACTCCCAGATATACTAATAACAGAGTCTAAGCTGAGCAGGGAATTGGAATGATTATACTGATGGTCCAAAAGATAAGAAGTTCCCAGTAATATAGCTCATATTATACTGCTCAAGAAGTGGATTTCCTGGTACTAAAGGAAGCAAATGCAATGTCATATGTGATACCATCCTCACTGGAGGATGTGGCTATACCTTTGTTCAGGGTCGAGAGTAACTCAAACTCAGTAAATATCACATTGCATTAATCTTCCTTATGGAGAATGAAGTCACAATTTCTATCACCATAACCACCATTAAAGTTAATTGTGTGTCTGAGGGAAGATTATTGAAGCTAGAGGTGGTTGCCCAAGCATCAACTCATTTGCTCTGTATAGAAAGTGAAGGTATGATACTTGGCCAATCTTATGCCCTTTGATTCTTTTAATTAATATACTTCCATTCCTGGCTGAGTTGGCTATTAACAAAAGTTTCCCAATTATCTTGCCTAAGCCTCTTGCCTTGGCTAGGGCTCTCTGAAACAGCTTGAGCCTCTCTGCATATAGATTTTCCAATATGCAACTCTTCTGGCAATGGGTTTCAAAGTACAGTACATTATTCAGAGTATCTCGAACCCCCGAGAAACATAGACCTCTGGACTGCATTAAAAAATCTGAGAAAATTTCATAAATAAATTACACTTTGTGTACCAATTAGCATTGTAAAGCTAATATGTGTTTAAGGGTACCACAGTATTTATGTATGTCATTTCAAGTTGAGCAAATAACATATCTAACAAATTTAAAATAAATATTAAAAGAGCTACTATGAGTCTATGGAGCAAAATTTTCCTCCATAGTGCAACATGTTCTGGGCAAGAAAATATGCCTCTTTCCCATCTGTCAATAAATATACCGAGTATACTGAATTTATCGACATATTAAAATACCCTGTACTATGAAAGAGCAAAGAAAAGTTTACTGAAATGTTAGGGGATATAGGAGGAAAGCTCTCAAGATAATATGTATTAAGTAAGTTGAAAGTACTGTACAGTACTGAATTTTGAAAGGCTTGAAGCCTAAAATTCAAGGGAGATATAAATATATTTAATTGGGTTGTGAGGCAATTACATTTCCAAGCATAAATTCACACACACTTTTCTAATATAACATTTTCTGGAAGGGCTGAATGGTGGCTCACTGAAGCTAGCTCGCCAAAGTAGCTCCACTCATATGAGTCACATCAGCTTTAGGGAGTCCTGAATGGCTTACCAGGACTAAAGTCAGAATCTGGCTTTAGTCCCAAATGCAAATGAATTTTATTGCATTTTGGGAGCTTTCCACAATTTAGGATAATTTATTTGCATGGCATTTCTTCCTTTGGTAAGGTTGAATTGTATATATCAGTTAGATGATAATATTTCTCATGCGGTTCTTATCAGTTCTATTGCAGCCTCTCTTAAGAAGCATTCGAGGTCCGTGTTAGTATTCCACCTTAAAGTATATTGTACTCTATAACAATAGTGTGTGTATATTGGAGTTTGTTGTAATTGCTGATTTGTTGAATAATTGTGTGTATGAGGCAGTTTTGAGTTGTAGATCCCCAGGTGCAGATACCGTAAGCAAGATATGGATAGACGAGTGAATAATATAGTGTTATTAGGGAAGAGCGAGTTACATAATATCTGGTTTATACATAATTTATTACTGTAATTAGAATATTGGGGTATATGGCACCAGTATGATAACAAATATTAAGTCAAAATATTAAGTGCGTGATAATTTTTGGATTTTTTTGTTGCTCCGAATTTTTTTAATACTTTAAAAGCTGCACATACTGGTGGCCCAGGACAGGGAACTGAGCCCTCCATGGTGTTAAACTCTACCTGCATAATACTTGAGACAGCTTTATACAGTATAGTATGTTGACAATGACTGCATTGAATATAGGGTACAGTATTTATTTCATATAACTCACGAGTAACAACAATGGCCGTGGGGATGGGAGGATACGAGGAGACAACATTGGTAGCATGACAGAGGTAGATGCCGGTGTCTGTCCGCGTAGCCCACTCAACTACTAAGCGAGCCTCGCCCAGGCCTGTAGACAACAGTACCATCGAGCTGAAGAAATAAAACCCACATGCTGTACTGTCAACAGTAGTACAAAGCTAATGACTTACATTGGTACATAAATTACTGGGTTGTATTTATTATCACTTTTATTTTAAAAAATTTTATTACTAAAACCCAAATTACTGGGCTGTGTAAATAAATGAGGTTAGGTTAATGTTGTAAAATGTTCTTCAGCCTTCATAAATTTCAATTTGCATGTTAAACAGTAGATTTCTGCTTGTATAGGACAATTGCTTTCGAACTTTTCACCACAATATGACTTGGCTACAATTAGGTACAGTATTGTATCTTGGAAGTTCAGCTTGTGTGTAGATTCATATGACATTGAAATTTAATGTGTGGACAAAGATAAGGACATACACTACAGCACTGCACCTTATACTGTGTGAAAAATTGAGCCATTTATTAATAGATCTCAGCTTATGTTTGATGAAATTGCAAATAATTTTAGTGTAAATTATAAAATCTTAAATTTTTGTACTAGTATATTCAAATTTTGCTTCTCAATAAAGAAAAATACGTGAATATATGTGAAAGTGTAGGCGGTGTAGCCTAAAATAATAAATGACAACATTTCCAAAACATCAAGACTAATTGGGGACCAATGACAAGCCGTCGGTTTCCAGTCCCCATCGAGGCCACTATAGAGGTAGTGGCCCTCAGGTAAATTCAGGTAAATATTAGACTGATGTAACAGAAGCCATGAACATCATACTAGAAGTAAGTATCTCTGACATTGCTTAAGTTTGCTGAAACCATGCAAACAATCCATGCAAAAATATAGAAATACCTCTGTAAAGAGGGAAGAATTGCACAATATTTACTTAATTAAAAAAAGCAGCTAATTTCCTCATTATAGTACCTAATTTTCATAATACTGCAAATTGAAAAACTAGATCACGTTTATTCAACGAGTGTTTGTACTACTAATTAACCTATTCTATCGAAAAATCTGCACTAACTGCATTTCTAATACTACTATCAGCACCTTCCTCTAATACAAGAATAATACTGCACCATTATTACCTGAAACTGAACAGCAGTAACCAGCCCATGTGTTAAATGAATGTACCCAACAGTGTTCTGTACCAAGCTTATCACTTTATCCATATTAATTAGATTTGTGGCTATTCATTGTACTAATATAAATGTATCACATTTTCACCAAAATTTTACAAACCTCATTATAGTTTTTTGTAAAACAGATATAATTGATTTAGAAAACAAAAAGTAAATTCTTTACCAATAACCCATGGTTGGGGACACAGCTCACTTGTTTATTTTGTCCCCTTTTGCCAAGCGCAAGGCTCTCTACACGAGTTTCCATCCAGTTACTGGTCAGACCCAACAGTGCTTAACTTAACTGAATAATGCACACATCATATTGTGGCAGAGACTACTTTTTGTACTTTTGAGAAAAATGTACAAATTATAATTACAAGAATATCAGGTAATGATTGGAATTCCTGCTGTTGCTGTCAGTGATCCAGTTAATGCCAGCATACCATAGAACAATATTGAGATCTTACCCGGTAATGTGAGGATCCCTGGTCCAGGAAACATTAGGAGTGGGGTTACCAGCAGCTGAGCAGAGCACAGTGGCAGCGCCATCTTCATCAACCATCACTCGCTCCGCCGCAACCACCTCCTCGGGACCATCTGTTGAGCAGCTTTTCCATTGTTTCCTCTCTCCGAATATAACCTAAATCAAAACTAACAAAATTAAACAAAGTAATCATGCCAATCATATGACAATGAATGTGGTAAAGACTGTGTTGATGTAAATGGCCATGCAAAAGAGAAAATGCATTCAATAAATTGAAATTAACAGATGTGTGGACAACTGCTAAGACTAAAATTATCTTAGTAAACACTGACACTGTACATTGATGAAGAAAGAGGAGTTTATTGCCGAAAGTGAAGTGCTGGCGACCACAGTGTAATCCCCAGACAAGTGACGATCAACGCGCAGCAAGGTTAACTGCCCACTACCACCGTCTGCATCCTCGCCCTCAATAGCGGCTGGTCCCCGCCACCACGTGTACCTGTTAACATCGAAATCCATATATATTATCACTAATTAAATGTTTGTGGTTATCTTGAGTTATCTTGAGATGATTTCGGGGCTTTTTAGTGTCCCCGCGGCCCGGTCCTCGACCAGGCCTCCACCCCCAGGAAGCAGCCCGTGACAGCTTACTAACACCCAGGTACCTATTTTACTGCTAGGTAACAGGGGCATAGGGTGAAAGAAACTCTGCCCATTGTTTCTTGCCGGCGCCTGGGATTGAACCCAGGACCACAGGATCACAAGTCCAGCATGCTGTCCGCTCGGCCGACCGGCTCCCAAACTGCCAAACTGGTGTTTTAATAAAAATTACAAAAACTATGCATACAACATCCATTCAACCAGAATTGTCCCAATAGCATTATACAGACTTGATCATTAAAAAATAAATTCTTTGGTAGTGATGCTTACTGATCTGGGACTATGGGGAGTTGTCCAGATCTCTGTGACCCACCTAGCCACTAACCTTCTTGTGCCTGTTGCTTTATAATTTAACTTTCTTGGCATGTGAATTCTTTGTCGATTGGGCCATTAAAGTTGTGGATGGAGGTGCCTTCCCCAACTTTTCAATATATTCCAATTGTTCACCACACGTATAGAACAAGAGTACAGTGGCACCTCGACTTACGATAATTTCGAGTTACGATGTAAATTTGATCGAAAAATGTGACTCGACTTACGATATTTGTTGGTACACGTTTGGGTCCACCAAGCGTGTGGTTCCTGGTCACTCGGGCCGACCTGCCTCAGTTTACTAGAGCTGCCCACTTAGTGATGATCACGCCTATAAGAAATTCCGATTGTGTGGTGATTTTTTGCTTTTTGAACATAAAACTGATTATAATATATCATGCCATGGGTCCCAAGAAAGTCAGTGGTAAGGTTCAACATATGAAAAGACATGTAAGAATGACCATAGAGGAAAAACAAGAAGTCATATGTAAATATGAAAATGGTACTAGTGTTGTTGAACTAGCTAGGCAGTACAATAAATCTTCAGAGGAGGAGGAGGCGGCGGCATTAGAGGATGTCCCTTCCTCATTGATTAAGGAAATGTGTGCAGTATGGGAAGGACTGCAAAGTTTTGCTGAAAAGAATCACCCAGATAAAGCTGTAACAGCCCGTTGCACTGATCTTTTTAATGACAATGTGATGCCTCACTACAGACGAGTGTTGGAAAGAAGGGAAAAACAATCTTCAATGGAACGATTTCTAGTGAGAAAATCAAGCATTGAGCCAGAATCAGGTCCTAGTGGTATGCAGGCAAAACATGCCAGTGTGTGTACCCCAGAGAAGTCCTCACTGCCTGATGTTATAATGGAAGGGGACTCCCCTTCCAAACAGTAACACCTCTCCTTTTCCCTCCTAACCATCTTCCATACGCCATCAAGAGTCCTCCATAAAGGTAAGATAAACATATGTACTGTATTGTACATTCTGAATACAGAATTGTATTCAGCAAAAAATGTATTTGTATGTTAATATTTTGGTGGGTGGGGAATGGATTAATTCAATTCCCTTTATTTCTTATGGGAAAAATCGCTTTGACTTACGATATTTCGACTTACGATCTGTCTCTAGGAACGGATTACCATCGTAAATCGAGGCCCCACTGTATTAGTCTTCGACTTGTGTGGTTTCTAGCTTTAACTGTTGTCATATTGGTGGTTGTCATGATTATGATGATGCATAATGATTGTGATGCAAATGTGTAGTGGGTACTGGGGGGGGGGGAACTGGGGAAGATGGTGCTGGTGTTAGTGATGGTGATGATAATGGTGGTGTTATATTGATAATAATGGGGGTGGTTATATTGATGATAATGGTAATAATGATGGTCGTGATGGTTGTTTTGAAATGAGGGCAGTGACTGTGGTCACTGGTGTGTATGCGTGTGGTGGTAGAGGAGATTTCTGCAGTGGTGACCTGGTAATGGTGGCTGTGGCGGTGTCATTTGTCACCTAGTCTGGGACAGGAAACTTGTTAAAGCCTAATCGAAGTCCCCACTGGGCCAACTGTACTGACCTTTCCCTGGATGCAACCCACAACAGTTGTGTAAGTAGCAGTTATAGTGGATATGGCGAGGAAGAACCCACCTCACAGGTCCAGGGTTGGCAGCAGCCAGGGCAGTGATGACCAAGTCCTCGCCCTCAGTAACGTCCTGGGTCACTGACGGTGCCCACATCCACACCGGCCCATCTGTAGCAATAACAATTGTAGCTACCACATTGCAGGTGCAGACGAGGAGTCACAATAACGTGGCTTGAAGATATGAGAACTAAACCACATACCAGAAGATGAGGAGACGACCACGTTTCGGTTCGTCCTGGACCATTATCAAGTCGATTGTCGACATGATAATGGTCCAGGACAGACCGAATCGTCGTTGTTTCCTCATCTACTGGTGTGTGGCTTAGTTCTCACATTACAGGTAATGTGGCAGCTACCTAAATCATCCCACAAAGAATCCAAGAAATTTTATTGTAAACACTTAAAAGGTTCCACATAATCCCACATACAATAATTAACATTGAAAAAGTCTGTAGGAGCTGTGAGGAAGATTAAATTTTCTCATTGATACATCACGTTAATGTGATTTCTTTGTGCATAATTACATAAATAATAATAATAATAATAATTCAATTAGACATTAGTGCAAGTTTCCAAGAAATTCCACTAATATAAACAGAAGCCAAGCTTTCCCATCAGCCTGTCCGAGAGCAACTTGGATGTAAACCAGTGTAAGTGGACACAAATATGAGATGGCCAGATACACAGCACCTTGAGTCTAACTCCACCATTGGTTCAGTGACGAACTCTGTAGATATACCACGGGTGGTTATATAAATAATATTTATGATTATGATTCTAAGAGGACTGTATGTTTGATTCAGCCTGCCAGAATTTATCTGCACATAGTTTGAAGGGATATTTATAGCTTATACCCCAATGGGTGGTTATATAATAAGCTATAAATATTTACCTGATATATAATATTTACCTAATATAAATTATACCACATATGGTGGCCGAATATAAATTATACCACATATGGTGGCCTAAACTACAGTATGCTTCATTCTACAGTTATCTACTGTAGAATCAACCATACTTTCCTATAAAAGGAAATTTGAGTCCTTAGCTGTAGGGTTGATATGGCCTGATTGGCAGTGTGACTACATCAAATTAAGAGTGTGGTCCATGTAGTCTAGTTTTATAATGGCAGCTGGCACTCATGTTGTCTGTGCTAGGGTAGCAAGAAACATCACAGTTTATGTTGGCCAGCTCACCTTCTCAGTACTGTATCTACAAATCACAAATTACCTGCCAAAGGAATTTGATTAATAATGGCTCCATTAACATATAAAATACAGGTGTGATATGAATTAATGTGTGTTGCTGAGTAAAACTCTACTCACTCTGTTGGGGTGGAAGCCCCGTATCTTAACGATATTTCCTACAATAATAATGGCCAGTATTACATGCAACAGAAATACCGAAAGTTGTTCTTCCCTTTGTTAATGAGATCTTCAGTTGGTCGTATCGTGGGGGATCCCGTGTCAAAGCTCGTATGAAGAACTGTTCTGTGTTGTAAAAAATTGTCAGAGAGTGCCCCTCTCTGTCTCGTGTCTTTGTTTACTCTCTGACAATGACGCCGCCTCCTTCCCTGAGGTGTTGTTGTTCCCACAATCTTTGGTTACAATACTGTGCCACTTTTCTAAGTTTATTTAACAATAGCAAGGGAGCCAAACTATATGGTATAATTATGCAGTCCTAGTGAATACTATTTTATTAAGTTTGAAGAACACTAGACTGTGGTTTAAAAAATAATTGGAGTTTAATATATATATACGTGGGGTGAATATGGGGTTCGTTGTGATGACGTCACAGAATCTCCCATTTCCATAAATTCCTAATTTGTAACTATAGTATGTTAACACATGTGTCGGATTTCCGACATTATTAAACTATTTTTAGTTGAATATAATATATATATATATATATATATATATATATATATATATATATATATATATATATATACATACAGGAGGGGGGGGGGGCCAAATACGGGTCAAAGTCCCAATAAGGCGTGCGAACACTTTATTCCTCGCCCTCAGAATTATAGTTTCTTTAATTTGAGCTTGCACTGTTGTGTAGCAGTCCGTTCTGGACTTATGTCCTGTACTGGCACTTTGGGTGATGCAAGTCTTTGAGCGTCTTCTTTTCCTGCCAGTTCTAAAGGAACTAATTTCTCTAATGTTTTGAGAGTAGTGTTGCTTCGGCATTTTACTTTCACTATTCTCAAGATGCCCTGACAGTTTGGATGAACTAATATAGGCCACTCTGAGCATGGTCCATCACTGTCCACCAAACAATGTCATCAGGGTTTTGGTGGATCTTATTGTAGGGGTTGTTTGCCCCATAGTGATACTAAGTTTCTAACCTAATTAAGTTTTATTCAACTCAGAGGACTGAGTGTGTTCAATCATTAAAATCAAGGATGGCTCTGAGACTGCAATGGGATCAGTGGCATTGGTCGCTGTGACTTGTAACTGTTTAGGCTACTGTCCACTAGTTTGCCACTGAAGACACATAAGCTCACCTTTAACTTTAAATTGTGATATTAAGATCAGCCTCTGTTGATATATAATCAGCTGTATTTTCTTGAGTGAGTACAGACCTCAGTTTGTACTCTGCTGACCCTAGTTAATTTCCCTAATGCCTACCTACATAAGGAGTTTACTATTATTGTTGACTGGCACCTTTATATGTCAGTTTGATCAGGCCTGATGCCCCTATAGGAGTTGCAGGTGTTGGAAGTCTCGTGGTGATTTCACTTTCCTACTAACTCCGGTGATGCTAGGTTTTCTAGCTTTATTGTATTTTATTATGCTTAGAGGACTGAATGTGAACATTTACTACAGTCAAGTATGATTCCGGGACTGCAGTGGGATCAGTGGCATTGGTCGCTGTGACTTGTAGCTGTTTAGGCTACTGGTCATTGACTATCCATCTCGGCCCATAGAAACCATCTCGGCTAATAATAATTGTACCAAATTCAGTCTTTGATTTGTGTAGTCAGCTGTATACTTTTTTGTCTTTAGTTGCTGGAGATTTATATTCAGCTGTCAAATTTGATTTTCTAGTAGTACTGATTGTCGCCAGGCATAGGCTTCTTCAGGTTTAAGACTCTACCTGTGAGTAAATTGCCTCCTGCTGACTTTAACAGGGTCATACCCTGTTGTTTAGCTTGTCCAGTGATGAATTGATGGTAATAATCTGCACCTATAAGTATTCCTACATCGGTGAGGTGATCAGACGTTATTTTGTTATCAGCTAATTTGATTCCCTTTCCTTGGAGGAATCTGACTGTTTTCTCTAGACCATGAACATACATGTCAAATGGGATTTGGTCGACTACTATGGCCTGTACAGGTTGGACATATCCACCTAAATGTACTAGTGGTTGGACCACTGTGTAGTCTTGGGGTCCTGTGTTTATCATGAACCCTGAAAGATTTAATTTTACCTGTGTTACAGGCTTTAGTTTAAGTTCATCTGCCACTTTCTGTGTGACGCAAGTTTTCTGGGACCCTTGGGCAAATAATCCACGTGTGGTGACCTTGGTCCCTTTATTCTTGATGAGTAGTTGGGCAGTAGGCAAAGTCACATTATTATAAGACTTTCTTGAAGGGTCACGCACATTCTCATGTACTGTAGAGAAGTGTACAATGGTGGGAGTTTCTTACTCCACCTGGGGTTTGGAAGACCTTGGTCTTATGTCCCCACACAGTGCTGTATGGTGTTGACCCTTATTGCACCTATTGCAGGTGCGCATTTGGGTTGCACAGGTATTGGGGTTATGTGACCTGAGGCACCTGGTGCATCTGTGCAACTCCTTGAGTCGTTGTACACGTGTAGCACGATCAGGGTAAGTATTGCAGTTGTACAGAGAATGTTCTTCTTCACAGAACAGACATGGCCTCCATGCTACAGCACCTTTGGAAGTCACCGTCTTGGGTGACACATTAACTGTAGGTTTGGAGGGACCCACTGCATATGTGCCCACACTGCCGTGTTTCCACCTTAGAGTGGAGGTAGTTGGTTTAGATTTATTTGGAGTACTGTTTGTACTCTGTGGTTTACTATGGGTGGTTAACGAAGGTTTAGGTGTTGATTTACCATCTGTGTTGTATCTCCTGTGTTGTCTCACCAGCTCTCTCTGTCTTTCTATAACAGAGCGTAAACCTTCTGTGATCTCCTGTACTGTCAGAGAAGATTTGTTATGTAAGGCACACAACTTATCCAGTATTTCACTGGGTAATTTGCGTATTACAAGAAATTGAATTAACCAATCCGATTCACCTACGTTTACTTTACGGCTAAGTGCTCTGAGTAAGGACTCAAGCTCCAATCTAAAGGCTTGGAGTGAGTCAGCAGATCCATCTGCTGATGGCATATCCACCAATTTTTTTGTTAAAAGTCTGATAGTTCGTTCTGGTTTAGCATAATTTTCCTTAAGGAGCTCTACTGCGCTATCATAGCCATCATTTGATACTGTTAAATTAGAGACCAATTTTAATGCTTCACCTTTTAATATTTCTTGTAAGTAAGAAAATTTAGTGATTTTAGTTATATTGGAATTAGCATCCACCAAGATAACAAATTTGTCCCAGAAGTTATCCCAATTTTCGTCCTCTGTTCCAGAGAAAGTAGGTAAACTAATTGTTGGTAATTTGACTTCTGGCCGTGTCGGGTTATGGGGAGCTGTGGTTGTAATATTTGTTGTTGCCTTGCAATGTGTTATTACATTGACAAAGTGTTGTAACTTGATTTGAATGGCAACTTCATAATCTGCCTGTTCATTTATGATAGCCTCTAGATCACTATCGTCTATCGTCGTATCAGTAAGAACAGCCACATATTTTTCTATTTCACTTTTTATTTGGTCAAATTTCATTTTGGCAAACTTATAATAGCCCTCCAGTTTAACATGATCAACAGGAGTTTGTTTACACAGATCTTCGCATTTATTGATATGTCTGGTTAAATGGTCTTTCATACTTGTTAGGATCACTTTACTGTTTCTTGCAGTAGACATGATGGCTGCTTGGGCTAGCCTTACTGCAGTTGTACTAGGGCCAAACCTTGTTGGGCTTGGGCTGCTTCTAGAGCTGCTTAATATTTAAATATAT